TTACGGGCTGTCCAGGACAGTGTAGACGTCTTTTAAAAAGTTTCAAATGCATCCATATATCTGTAATCAAGACACCAGTCGCTGTGTTGGTCAACTTTTGTATGTGTTTCTTTTTTCCTTCACGTTCCCCAGTGGAACATAGGGCTTCAAGCTAAAGGCTTGAAGTTTATGTAGCAGTGTTTATTTTACAGGATGAGGCTGCTAGCCTCATTCTCAACCTTTCCTTTTTACCAGCATTATTTCTGGCTTAACGAGGTAAAGGAGTGCGTCGTCCGGGGATCAAACCCCGAAAGATATGTATGGTGGGCGAGCGTCCTAACCGCTGTATGTGTTGGAGTAGTCAAATTTTTGTTTAAACACCCTGTTCTATGCTAACTCATTTGTGGTAAACTAAATGAAAATAGTGAGGGGAGATGAGAGAGAGAATATTGGTGGTGCATAGAGATAATATTAAATTTTAATTCAGAACCTGTTTTAGCTCCATCGCGTTTAGTCTTTTGAAAATAATCGACCTAAGGTTTTTGCAGTATGCTTGTGTTTATAATTCATTGGAAGTACAGAAAGCCTCAGGTTATAGCAAATTTTACGGCTTTTACTTTCTTCAGACAGGAAGAAAACAGTTTCACTGAGTAAAACTGATATTTACAAAACTGTCCTAATGGAAATTCTAGTTAATTAGCACTTTCTGGAATTAGCAAATCAAATTTGTCACATTCGAATTACTAAATGTTAAATAACCCAGTATAGCAGGTCAAATTTATCAGTATCAAAGAGTTACAGCTAAAATAGAATAAAATTGCAAAACTTTAAAAATATATGAAGGTATGTTGAATGCTCTGCGTTGATCATGGCAGGTTATAACCAAAATGTGGTTGCATTTCTGAACCTAAAGAACCATAGTGAAAGGGTATCACCCTTTTATATTTTTGATTGAACACCAGTCAGTAACTAGTGTAAGGTGTCTAGTCCTATCTATCTTCGGTGCAGACTGAATTCCATCAGTCAAGCTTGCAATGTGGACACCATGCCACGTGGTTCGCCATTACGGTGCACTTTCAGTTGTTGTTGATATTAGATGGTTGGAGGTATCATCATTGTGTGATGAATTATGATTATCTCGTATACAATATTCGGAGCTGAAAATGCAGTAATCAGCATCTTCAAACGACTAACTGATTTCAAGTGATTTGTTTTTTAAAACATTTGAAAAATAAGTTGAGGCATTTTCTATTTTCACTGGGATTCTTCTGGTTGAAAAAACTGAAGCAACTGTATCATATCACTGATATCTGCTATATATTATTAATAAGGAGTTTGAGAGTTGTATTTACTAACAGATTATTAACATTATTATCCCCTTAAGTTCACAGGGCTCCAGCACCCCATCTCCATCCTATCCTTCTCTCTACAGTTTTGTTTAGCTCTCACCTGCTCGTCACACGATCTCCTCCATGTCACTTTCAGATCAAAGCCAACTTTGTCTTTTCTTATGCCCATTTCACTTGACAGCTGGCCTGGCGTACGATGTCACCCAGTGGCTTCCTCAGCGTATCCAGTTCATTTCCGTTTCCTCTTTTGCATATTTGTGGGCTAATAGGTGCTTGGTTGGTTCTCTACCAGAGTTTCTTGTTGCTAACCCTTGTTGTTTGAGTCGTTTGGTCTTATTTATTTTACCTTTAATTTTATTTTGACTACAGCTTGATGCCACACCGTATTTTCAGTACAAGTATGGAATTTTCAGCATGGATATCGGTAGCCCAAATTTTGCAGGCCAACCATAGATATCGGGTGTACGTCGACAGGGGATCGAACCCCAGACCATGTGCATGGTCGGCGAGAGTCCTTACCACTGTGCCACCTACCTGGCACAGCAAGAAGCGAAAGTTGCTGCTGATAAATGTCTGCAGTGGCTGTAAATCTCTGAACAATGTAGAAGAACTGACTTGACGTAAGTGCCGAAGACCTGAATCTTATTTCTTACACTGAAAGCAGTTGATTCCTAAAATGATTTCAGATTAATAAAGGTCTGTCCTCTACTACCGATTTTATCTATCTTTGACATTCTCATGCTTGACAAATGCTATTTAATTCATCTTAACAGAATATATTGAAGTTGTGACAAAATAGGTATTTTTGGTTTTAGAATTTATAAATGCGAAACAGGAAATAAAACCAGTTGACTATATAGATGTATATACGTGTATCACAAAGATTCTTTATCTGTTTTGGTCATTTCAATTTGATATACTGAGCATAAATAGACGCATTTAAGATGGTCTAATGCAGATAAGCTTTATTTAACGAATATAAAATATGAATAATAAACAGAAGTGGGCTAAGTAAGCATAAAAGCTAAAGTACTTTCTCTCTCTCCCTCTCTTGCAAAGTCAGACAAAATACGTTTTTGTTGACAAATAAAAATTTCATAAAAGTTGGTGTTATGAAACACAAATCAAGCACTGATTAGAGTATTATTGCATCTTCATAACAAAGTTGGTGTAAACGGTTTGTTTTTTATATAGCGAAAAGCTGATGCGATTCATTAATTTAGGCACTGTGGCTTTATGAAAAAGTGTTAAGGCTTTAGAATTAAGTCCTATCAAAGCTGACTTTGTTAACTAGGTAGTACTGTGAACAGTAGTGTGAGGATGAGATGAAAGCTTATAGGCAAACGTGGAGCAGGCTAGAAAGCAATATAGAGGACAGAATAAATTGGGGATGTGCTGCTATAGCCCTGTGTTCCCCTCGAAACCCAGTCAGACAATAAGGTTGATTAGTGAATTTACTGTGTAACATTTTTACCCTGGAAACAAATCGCTCATATGCACTCAGGATAGATTTTACACTCAGACTCTAAAAGTAAAGGAATTGTGAACACGGATTTCACTTAATCTTTAGATTTCTTTATTCCATATGAGTTCCCAAACTTGGAATCGTCATGTTTTCTGTAGTGATCGAATTATCAACTAAACATTGGATCGAAACCTGACAATTTATGATTTCCATCTATTGAAAGCTGATTAAAGATTGTCTGTTTTAATGCAGTAGGCAAGGTAATACATTAAAGGCAGACTCTAAATGCTCCTGCTTAAATATTGATTCATAAGTGGAATAATGATCATTGCCAGATTAATTATCAATTATTTTTGTAATATTAGTGACTGACTGACTGGTTTCAACGTAGAACTTTGCACAGATGTACAGCAGTTCGAGTCGCCACACCCAATGTAGCACACAAACCAAGAGAAGAGAGTAAAATAGAGATTAAAAAGAGAGATAATAAACAGAGATATATGAAGCAATGACTAGGCATGCTCAACACATGTCCTAACCATCTCAGTCGATGCAATTTCACGGCCTCGTCTATTGATTTCCCCTCCCACTTACCTAGCACTCGACCGATACCTATCCTCAACATTCCTCACCCTATTATACCATAGATATAGAACGCAGACACCTACGATCAAAAACAGATAGCCTTTTAATGTCTTCCACTTTCAGTGACCATGTCTCACTGCCATAAAGGAGCACAGAGCGAACTGCTGAGCAGTACACACGTCCTTTGGTCGACAGCCAGCCGGATATCACATCTACCAAGCCAGACTTGGTGTAAGTTGGCATCTGTCAAACGAGCCTCCTGCACACGTGTTGAGATTTTGTAAGAGATCAAACCGTTTGGGCTGATGCAACTTCCCAAATAAGTAAAGTGGTCAACGTGCTCTACCACTTCCCTCCGCATCTTTAAGCTAGGAGTCAATATAGTCAAGTTCTGTAGCATCATCCTACATTTGGCGTGGGCGGACTGCATGCCAAACATTCGAACATTTCTGCTCAAGGTGTTCATGAGAGTCTCCATTTCGTCAGGAAGGAGTAATATATTATCTGCATATTCTGAGTCAACGAGATTATTCCCTGGTTTCAAGTCAATCCCTGAGTCGCTGGAGTCATTCAAGGTTACACCTATAATGAAATCAAACAGAAATGGGGACAAGAGGCATCCCTGATGGACACCACTGGTTGTCACCACTCAAGATGACAGCTCTATGTAGGCTCTCAGCTGGCTGTCTGAATGAGTCCGAGTAGAGTGCCTCGACCAGCGAGATTTATTTTCTCGGCATTCCCTTTTGCAGCTAAGCATCTCCGTCTCGATAGACGGAATCGAATGCCTCCTTCAGGTTACGGCATATGACGATTGTTGGATGCCGGTAAGTATGCCTATATTCCTGGTCTAAACCCTGCCTGGTTTTCTCGTGTTTGTTCCTCTCGTGGACCACCTAGTCTACGAATTATTATTGAACCTAGAACTTTAGATACCATATTAGTCAAGCTAATCCCTCTGTGATTATCACAGGAAAACTTGTCTCCCTTCTTGTTTATAGGGATAATCAATGACTCACACCAACCCGATGGGACTTCCTCTGATTCCCAGACGCTTCCTAGTACCTCAGTCAACACAGACAGTAAACTGTCTCCACCGTACTTAAACACTTCTGGAGTCCATCATTCCATCAAGTCCAGCTGCTTTGTCTCACTTCATACTAGTGACAGCTTTTGTAACCTCAGTTAGGGACCAAAGACCTGTGCCTTTATCCCATTCAGGGAAGCGTATTTTAATGTTTAGATTACCATCATTTCAATAACTGCAACAGAACACGGTAAGACTGTTAAAAGTTCAGTAAGTCAAAGACTACTGAAATCAAGGTTTTAAACTATGGGGAAGTAACAATACCGACATAAATACTGCTGTACATTTTTTCATAAATGATTTTTAACTTTTACACCAAAACTGGTTGCTTATTAACGAATGCATAAAAACATCCAATTCAATGCTAGTGGGTTGAAGTGCGGTTAACAAGAGGCTCAAGACATATCTTTGGCAAAGTTAGTACTGTTCAGCAAGGCGCATCTGCAAGTTCTAAGGTGCTGATGTCCATTTAGATATTTGAACTTTCATCACACAAAATTTTTCTTATTAAATTTAACCATAAAAGTAAACCCACCCGATAAATTGGACATCGATCACTTAGTGTAGAACTCCCACCATAAAAAGCTACATCTGAATCAGCAACTCCATCCAAACGAGTAAAATATTGATATTCTGGAGGAACTTTATCCTTCAAACGTTTAAGATCACAGTAACCGTATACTTCATCATAAACTAAACACTTTATGTCATTGCCTGAAGCCTTATTGCAATAAGGTGTTAATGGTTTGTTCCTAAAAAGAAGAATATATATTTAATTTCTAATTAGTGTTGTCGTTATTGAAATTAAAGTATGTTAGCTTTATAAGCATTGCTTTAATCCAATACTCTTTACATCTCTGTATCTTGACCGAAATGAAACGCAGAATAGCTCGGGACTATTGTATATTCTGCGGACAGCATTCATGAAAAAGCAGTGTATTTTGTAATCAACCTTTGACGTAATTCTGAGCATAAGGTGTCCTTATTGTGAATTCGAATAGCAGTTAAATTCTTGTGAAATTAAACGGTATTATTATTCCAAGCATTAACAATAGAACTGTGATTGAAATTCTGAAAATCTTATTCCTTTCGTATGAGAGCATAAAAATGTTTTTATCAAAAAAATTATTTAATATTCACTACATTTAACCAAGTTGAAGCTATCCAGAGAAGTTGATATCTTATGAAGAATGCAACACAGGATTGCACTCCGTTTTTTTTAATTTAAATTAAGTTGTGGTATAGTATTCCTGATAATCAAAACTGCCCAGATTGCAAACGAGATGAAAAGATATAGGATTCAAGTAGTGGGAATATGCGAAAGCAAATGGAATGGGAGTGGACTCACCAAATTTTCAACGGGAGAGTCAGTGAGCTACTCCGGTCAGCCAGAAGACAACCAAATGCACACCTAGGGTGTAGCTATCATGGTGTCACAAACAGTAACGAAGGCCCTCATACAGTGGGAGGCGATCTCGCCCAGGATAATGACTGCGAGATTCTACTCAAAAGGAGGGAAAGTGTCAGTTATGCAATGTTATGCACCCAAAAACAACGCAGACCTCGAAAAGAAAGCAGAGTTCTACAGAAAACTACAGGTAACAATAGACAATTCTAATGGGAGACATTAACACCAAATTGGGACCAGACAACATAGGAAGAGAACTCATCATAGGTAGGGAAGCTCTCGGAGAAATGAATGAAAATGGAGAACTCTTTACAGACTTCTGCGCCCTCAATGAACTAGTGATTGGCGGCAGTGTATACAAGCACAAAAATCTCCACAAGGCTACATGGAAGTCACCAGAAAGGCGAACCAAAATCTAAATTGACTTCATCACAATGCTGCTGAAGGAAGTGAAGTCGCAGCTTACTGAAAACAAAAGTAATGAAGAGGAGCAGGCGTCGGCTCAGACCACTATCTCGTGCAAGGAACACTCCAAGTTATATTAAAAGCTTTCAAAGAAACAAATGCTGCAGATAGACCACAAGCCAAGTTCAATATTCAGAAACTGAAGGATCAGCCTACAAAGGATATCTTCACTGCAATCATCAGAAAAAGGCAGAGACACAAATCAACACTAAAGAAGAGTCAAACCTGCATGAAAGTTCTAGGCAGGAAGAAGAGACAGGACAAGCAGTGGCTCACTACGGACACATGGAGACCAATAGAAGAGAGAAGGATGTTGAAACAAACGACTATCCAGTGCATCGACGACCAACAAAAACAGAAGTTGAATGCAAGCTACAATACACTGAACAAAAAAGTAGAAAAAAGTGCCAGGGAAGACAAAAGAAAACATTAGGAATCTATGGCAAGTGAAGCAGGCAAAGGAGACCTCGCAACACTCTACCAAACAACTAGGTTCTCATTGGGGAAAAGTTCAACACAAACTAAGTCAGTGAATGATGACAATGGAAAGTCAATCACCAAAAAGATGGAGAAAAAGAAACACTGGGTTGAACACTTCAAAAGACTTCTAAATCGACTGCAACCTACAACGCGCCCAATAATATCAACAGAGGAAGCAGAATTACCGGTGGACATCAAACCTCCGACGAAAACAGAAATCCTGAAGTCAATAAAGATGTGAAAAAGTAGAAAAGCAGCAGGACCGAAAGGAATCCCAGAAAAAACATTGAAAATGGACCCCGAGACATCAGCGGACTTGATGACATCACTACTAGAGAAGGTATGGAAATAGAGCAAGGTACCTGCGGATTGAAAGAGAGGCTACTTATTCAAGCTGCCAAAGAAAGGAGATTTAAGTCAATGCAAGAACTGGTGCGGAATTATGCTCCTGTCTGTCCCAAGCATAATACTAAGCCGCATCATCCTGGAGAGAATAAAACACACAACCCTGGATGAAAAACTTCGTGCGGAACAGGCTGGATTCAGAGGGAACAAGTCATGCATCGATCAAATCGCAACACTGTGGATCGTCATTGAACAGAGCTTAGAATGACAGTCACCTCTCTATCTCAAATTCATTGACTTTGAAAAGGTCTTCAGCGGACAGCGTCGATCGAGAGGTGATTTGCAAACTACTTCGCCACTACCAAGGGGTGCCGCCAACCATTATACATCTCATCCAGCAGTTGTACGACAATGCTGCATACCAAATAACCCACAACAGGAAACTCAAGGAATCCTTCGAAGAAGTGAAGACGGGAGTAAGACAAGGCTGGCTGGCTGGCTGCCTACTATCTCCAATGATTTTTCTGATTGCAGTAGATTGGATAATGTGACAGACAGTGGGGAATGAGGAAACAGGCATAAAATGGACCCTAACGAAAGTTGGAGGATCTGGACTTCGCCGATGATATATGTCTGATTTCCCACAAACTGGAAGATATTCAAGTGAAAAGCAACAAGTTGGAAGAAGAAAAATCAAAGATAGAACTTCCTTCAGGTAAACGTAGAGAAGTTGGAGACATAGGTGATAAAGATTCCTGGCCAACAGCAACAGCAACAACAGACGACAATCAGCACAAATCTAAGAAATCTGAAAGAAGCAGCCTTCTCTACTTACCTGGGAAGCATCGTTTCAACTACAGGCGGACGAAACCTACGAGAATATGAAAACAAGGATCAGGAAATTAAAGCAAGCTTTCATTTCTCTCAAGTATGTGTGAAGATCAACAGCACTCAGTATGAAAATTAAAATAAGATCCGGATTCTCAACTGCAATGTGAAGTCAGTGCTACTATACGGATCCGAGACTTGGCGCTTCATGAAGAGTACCTCAAACAAACTACAGGCCTTCATCAACAGCTGTCCTGACTCAGTACTTCTCTCAAGATCAGATGTCCAGCCAGAAAAGATCAGAAACAGAGATCTCTGGCAATGAACGAACCAACCCAGCAGGAACCGATTGTGCAACAAATGTGAAGGAAGAAATGGAGGTGGATTGGCCATACTCTGAGAAAACCATCAAGTGACATCATACGAGAAGCTCTCGATTGGAACCCGAACAGGAAATGGCGAGTCGGTAGTTCAAAGGTGACATAGAGTAGATCATGTAAAAAGGAGATGAGAGAATGTGGGCAGATGTGGAGCCAAGTGAAAACGTTGGTGGAGAACCGAAATCGATGGAGACATGCAGCTGAAGCCTTATGTTCCTCTAGGAACTAAAGGAAACAATAATTCCTGATTATAGTTGACCAGATCACGTTGAAAACCGTAGGCGGCAATGAGACAGGTATACGTCGAACCGACAAGAAAACTCTATAAACTTTTGACCATGTGAATGATTCATATTCAATGTCACAAATACTCGAAGACACATAGGTGAAAAACAACAAGCCGGCAAAATTAGTAGCGAAGACAGGACTGCAATTGAAGTTAGAGAAGACAAAGATAACCAACTAACAAACAGCTAATGTCATTACCAATGGAAGAAATTAGAAAGAGATCGTTTCTGTCGCTTATTTCTGCAGCATCGTCAAAACCACAGGTTGACGATGTCAAAACCATGCAGGATCGGAAAGGCAATTGATATAAGAGTAGAACTTGTGCACTGTGGCGGAGTATAATTCTATTGTGGGTAAAAGTCTTATTTTGATAAAGTTTCTCAGTGCTATACAGTATTTTATTTACTGATGACTTTTCGAGCACAATTTATTGCTCATAATCATATCGAGTTACTCACACAACTTTCTAGCTTCATTTCTATAATTATAAAAAAGTTATAAATATAATCTATAAATTATATAAACGAAGTCAGAATGTTATGTGGGTAACTCAATTTGATTATGAGCCCATAAATTATGCTCGAAAAGTCATCAGTAAATAAAATACTGTATAGTACTCTGAAACTTTATCGAAATAAAACTTTTACCCACAATGGAATCGGAAAGACAAGGCAGACCTTCATCAACCTGAAATCAGTGTGGAGATCAACCGAATCTGCAATAATTACGTCAGATCAGTTCCTTCACATGGGTCAGAGGCTTGCTACGTCACCAAAAGATATTTCCAACGGGCTGCTACGGAATTTTATCGACAGATTCTTTGTCTGTCTCGAAAGTGAATATCAGATAGCTAGCTAGTAGGGTCAGGCAGAAACTAACTCAGAAAACAAACAAACCGAAAACCTACCACCCAACAAATATGCAGAATTAAATGAAGATGGACTAGATCTATGCTAAGGAGGCCGTTCAGCGACACTGGGCTCTAGGCCTCCAAGTGGAACCGGAATGGTTAACGACGAGATGGGGACTGGTCAGAGGATGATATGGAAGAGATAGTGTGAGGAGAAGGTGCGAAATTATGGTCAGCCAGCTGAATACGACTGCAGAGAATAGTATGAAGTGCAGATATGGCGTTGGAGCCCAATGTTCCACCAGGAACCCAAGAGAATTGTATGTATACTGTAAATGTATACGTTTAATATTGCGTATATATATACTGTCTTTGCATGTATATACCGAATTAATGGAAATACTCTGCAGCTCAGGCGGATGCTTTTGGGTGTGTTTGTGTTTTCTTAGGTAGGTAGTTTAACTGAAAAGCTGCTATTGTCCTCCTAGAAGACATCTTGTGCACTTACTCTAAATTTAGTTGAATTTAGTTTGGAATTCCCCATTAATAACAAAACTGTCTCTCCTGATTCCCTCGACTGTTACTGGTTGTCTTCGGAGAATTACTTATGCTTTTGTTAATTTGTATCGACATAGATAGTTTCGATTACCTACTTTTGTCAACTGAATTTTTCGTAATTTGCCCCATGTCAGTATGTCTGCTGAATGTAGATTGATTCAAGTATCAGACTTCTAAGACTTATCCAAAATTCTCAGTATTTTCAACGTTCAAAATATTCACATACTCCAGGTCAAATCGGAGTTTACGGTTATGGTAATGTACTGATATGAAGGAGTCTATGTGATTATTTTTGACTGCTAGTTTATATTATTAATTGGTGCAAAGTCAAAACTGGTGTCCACTTAAGCTAATACAGTCTTTTTCTTAGCTGATTCCAGGTCAATAGGACGATATATACCAATATAAAGAATAAGGAATTTTCCCTAAATAAATAATGACGGCCGAGGTCACCGGAAGAGACGGTTATATTACTCATGGAGAATTTTAACTACAGTCGACACTGAAGATGTTATGAAAGGGGATAATCAAAGGACAGCAATTAAACTACCTAGCTGAGAGACAACAATCACACCAAACACATATATATGTTCTACATGATCTGGTTTATATTTCATGCATGCAAATAAGTTGTAATTATAAACCGTTTTCCAAAAACATAATTCATTTATTAAGCTAAAAATAGAGTTTAATTCATTAATAAGTACGTCTTTGCTAGAGAAAATTCAGACATGATTTAAACAGGTTGATAAAAGCATACATCCAACAAGAGAAAGAACCTACGCTGCCGTTTTCATCTGCATATATTCATAACAACTCTTCAGCACAAAATCACAACCCCAGTTTTTACCAAATTTCCAGTTATCAGCCATGGACATGTTCACATCGTACCACCTATTGTTTATTTAAAGTAAAAGGTATTATCGATAGACTATGAAAAGGAGCGAAATTTAAATAATTAAGAACAGAAGAAAATTTAAAATGTAGGGTGAAAGCCATATATATGTCAGTTTATTTTCGTAACTGTAAGCGTCATTATTTATAAAGAAAAGCGTAACTGAACTAAAATTAATTATGATGAAGACTTCATCAAAAGCGTTTAAATTGTACTCTCCGAATAAGTTAAACGTAATTAAACGGATTTATGCGCATTAACTCACTAAATTTTGTAGATTTATGTTAAGCCTCTTTGTAAAAGGCTACTCTTTGAATATCATTCATTATGGTGATCTTTAATTGGGTAGTGTTGAAAGTGTAAGAAAAGTAAGAATAATATTTTGGAAGTGTTAGTTTCGTGCTAATATAAAACTCTCCAGCAGTACGTACCAATGACCCTACCGGGGATTAAAACCAAGACCTTCAGGTTATCAGGTGGGTTCGTAGATCACTCAGTCACCGGGACGGAATCCTAACTTCCTCTATTTCACGATGATATTAGATGGTTGGAGGCAATCGGCCATAGGAAGCCTTGGACCTAGGTTTCGTGCTAGTTGGCACTCACGAGTCAGCAAGGCGTATCTGCAACCTTGAAGGAACTCATGTCCCTTCTGAGATTCGAACGGATGTTGCAAACCTGACTGATAGAATTCAGTCTGCACCAAACAAAGGACTAAACGCATAACACTAGTTACTAGTGTTCAATCAAAGTATCTACTACAATCCTACAGGAGGTCAGTCGCGAGCCCGAATAGCTCAGTGGTAACGTCTCTGACTGCAGCACTGGGTGATGTGGGTTCGAATCTCAGAAGGGACATGAGTTCCTTCAAGGTTGCAGATACGCCTTGTTGACTAGTGCTAACGAGCTAAAAACTCAGGTCCAGGATTTCCTGCCGACCGCCTCCAACCATCTAATATCATCAAATTAATGTGCACCATGATGGCGAGCTACCTAGAATGGTGGCCACATTACAGCCTGACTGATAGAATTCAGCCTGCACCAAAGACAGGACTTGACACATCACACTAGTTACTAGAGTCAAATCAAAATACCTATTTCACGATTTTGGTGCCACCACCATCCAGTGTTATTGGTGAGTACTGGTCCTCACACCTGCTCTGCTGCACCCCACTAGTCACAACTTCTCCCTAGGACTTCAGGCGACTTCAGCTTGTAGTGTGCCACTAGTGAGTACTAGATTAATTTGCAAGTGTTAATGTGCAGTAACGTTTTGAGTTTTAAGTTCAAACTAAAGGATCTAAAGCTAGAAATTAGCGGGTTTAAATTATTTGTAAGAAAATGAAAATGATGACTGAAGATAGAACAAGTTTTCTTCTAAAAAGAACGATGTAATTACACCACACGAAAATCCATAATTATTATAATGAATAACTAACTTCCGACGATTTCGTCATGTGGCTCTTTAATCAGTAAATTATTATTATTATTGTTCCCTTGGGTTCGTAGTGAACACAGGGCTTCAACTGCACGTCTCCGCTTGCTTCTGTCTTCTGCTGTACTTTTCATCTGCATCCATGTTAGTCCATACTGTTTCAACTCCTCTTCACACGATCTCCTCCATGTCATCCTTGCACCGACGAACCACTCGCCGCTTCCCTTTCGGGTTCCACTCAAGGGCCTGACGCGCAATGTCACCCAGTGGCCTCCTCAGTGAGTGTCCAATCCATCTCCACTTTCTCCTGCATATTTGTTGGGCGATTGGTTCTTGTTTTGTTTGTTCCCATAGTTTCTTGTTGGTGATTCTTTCCGGCCATCTGATCTTGAGTATAGAGCGAAGACAGTTGTTGATAAAGGTCTCCTGCAACAGGCTGTTGGAAATATTCTTTGTGACCCGTCAAGTTTCTGATCCGTATAGAAGAAATGACTGACTTGACGTTTGTATTGAAAATCCGAATTTTGTTGTTGATACAGGCTGAGTGACGAAGATTTCCAGATTGGTTTCAGGTTGATGAATGTATTTCTCGCCTTCCCGATTCTCGATTTGACATCCTCGTCAATTCCTCCTGTAGTTGAGACAATGCTCCCTAGATAAGTGAATGAAGTAACTTCTTTCAAATTCCTCCCGTTGATGATGATTGGCGCTGGATGTTGCTGTTGCTGTTGTTGTTTTTGGTTGGTTATTTTCATAACCTCCGTCTTGTCTATGTTCACCTGGAGTCCTGTCTTTGCCGCTTCTTCGACCAGTTTGTCAGTTTTCGCTTGTAAGTCTTCGATTTTGTGTGACATCAAACATAAATCATCCACGCGCGAAATCCAGGTCTTCTAGGTTCTTCATGTCGGTCCAGGATATCCCTGTCTTCTCGTTTCCCACTGTCTGATGCATAATCCAGTCCACCACAATTAGGAATATCATTGGTGATAATAAGCACCCTTGTCTGACTCCTGTGTTTACTCCAAACGCTTCGCTGAGTTTTCCGTTGTGGATCACTTGACATGTGCCGTTGTCGTACAGCTGTTGAATAAGGTTGATGAATATTTGGGGTACGCCGTAGTACTCGAGTAGTTTCCAAATTACTTCGCGGTCAACGCTGTCGAAGGCCTTCTCAAAGTCTATAAAGTTGAGGTAGAGGTTTGATTGCCATTCCATGCTTTGGTCGATGATGATGCGTAGAGTTGCAATTTGGTCAGAACATGATTTTCCTTTCCTGAATCCAGCTTGTTCTGGTCGGAGTTCTGTATCCAGTGCGTCCTTTATTCTCTCCAGGATGATGCGCCTCAGAATTTTACTTGGCGTTGACAGGAGCATGATTCCTCGCCAGTTCTTGCAGAGTCCCAGGTCGCCCTTCTTTGGTAGTTTCACGAGGTAACCTTTCCTCCAGTCGATAGGCACCTTTCCCTCCTTCCAGACCTTTTGCAATAATGGAGTCAGCATATCTGCTGACATCTCTGGGTCCGCTTTAATCAATAAATGGAAAAGCCCTAAATTTTAATTGAGTTTAAAAAGGATTTCAACTCCTCCGAGAGTCGAAAGAGGAGGATAGTTTTGTAATATCACTAAGGGTGGAGTTTTATTGAATCTTTATTGTTACTGTGCTAAGAAAAATATCTTTACCCTGTATCTTTGAAATATGCCAGTGTTAAAGATGAAATATACGTCTCTTTCGAATAACTTCCTGACATTAATTCATCCTAAAATTGAAATTGAAATAAATTATTAACTACAAGTTCACATAAGTAAATATCTGTATGGTTAAATGATCAGACGATGCTCGAAAATCAGTAAAACATTGCGAAGTAAACAAAAATTTTAAACACATGTTTTTTCAACTTAGTACCAAAAAGACAAGAACTCTATATGCTTCACAAATGGAATACTTTTCTCTTTTGTGAATTTGTAGCATGTGCTTCTCACAAGAGTTGTCGGCACCATATAAATACACATTGACAGGAAGTGGGCAAAATTAAAAATAACATTTTAAGTCAGTACCTACAGAAGTACAAGCGTTTATTTCTCAAATCTGAATCTTGCTTACGTTGTGGTCAAGAAATAATTTCAAGGTTTGACTTTCAAAGTCGGCAACCTATCAGAACAGTTTATTGTTCGCTGACTTAACTGACCATAAATGTGTGAATATGGTGCGTTTTCCTTTGATAAAAAAGTCCATTGACAAATGTCATATCTTCTTTATTTAAACTTGTTGCCAGTATTCTAACCTGGGTTAGAGTGGCTACCGTTGTGCTCAGTATCTGTTTTGTCACATTCTCTAGATCACTGATTTCTAAAAACTGTGTAGCGTTGATCAATTGTAAATGCTGAGCGATTCGTTCTGGAACACTTTTGACACCAAATGTAACAGGAGAAGACAAGAAAATGGGTAGCACACTTTTTTATTGAAGTAAAACACACCATATTTACACATTTTTACAGACATTTATGAGCGGTTAGGTCTGCTGACTTTTTGAAATCTTTAAATATTCCCATTTATAATATTAGAACAAGACATATAAGCGAACAATATTGTTTTCAATTAGATCTTCTTCAGGCTTTACTCTAATTTACATAGATTTATATATAAAATTTTAACCAATGACGGTGATTTTGGGAATCAAATAATAATCTTAATAATAATAATGTGGTAAATGTTTTGAACGTAGTTAATAACGATGATTATAATGATAACAAAATATTGATAATAAGGTTTATGCAGGTGATAAGAATAACAAAGATAGTATATTTTACGAGTTGATCACGGACTGATATCAGTTAGAGAACCATTGAAAACCAGGGAGTACTGCCGATGATTCCCAAACTAGGATGAAACAGCAGCTGTCCAGTACTCCCTGGTTTTCAATGGTTCTCTAACTGATATCAGTCCGTGATCAACTCGTAAAACATAACTAATCCTTACAAACCAAACTATAGAAAATTATTCTGATGCTCGCTAGTGACTTGCTACAGGTTGGAGTTTCCTGCAGTTCTAGTGAGAAGTCGTGACCAGTGAGGTCCAATTAGAAGTCACGTGTGGATGGATTTCCACCAACGACAATAGTTGGGGGTCGCGCTAAAATCACGAATTGGTTGAAGTTAGAATTCATGAGCCATTGAATCGGGTCCCAGTGGCTGAATGGTATACGAGCTTGCCTTGTAACCGGAAGGTCCCGGGTTCGAATCCCAGTGGGTGCGTACTGCCGATGATTCCCAAACTAGGATGAAACAGCAGCTGTCCAGTACTCCCTGGTTTTCAATGGTTCTCTAACTGATATCAGTCCGTGATCAACTCGTAAAACATAACTAATCCTTACAAACCAAACTATAGAAAAGATAGTATATGTATAGAAGTGTATAAATAAATTGGGTCAAATCTTAAAAGGTGAAGTGGAACGATAATCAGAGTTTAAATAAATATTATAAAAGTACGAAGGAGGTGGAAAATAAGAAAGGATGGGAGGGTTTTGAATACAATTCACCTTGGCCAAGGGAGAGACAAAGGTAGAACAAACTTCTTTTGTATGCAAAGATTAAAATTGTTCTCTCGAATTCCCATAGCTTCGGCTATGTGTAAAAGACGGATTCGAATTCCGTTCGAAAGGCTCAATGGAATGTGACAGATAACTTTGAAGGCACTACTTTTGTCCACTTGGTGACCGCTATCAATCAAATGAGCCAAAATAGAGCTTCGTATGGATTTTATTTGACCTTTTCCGAACCATGAAGGAAGATGCTCATTAATGCGTTTGTTCAGCTGTCTAGTTGTTCGCCCTATATAGCTTTCTCCACAGGAGCAACTAAATTTATAGATACACATCGAAGTGGCACAACTAGGTAGCTTATCTTTCACTTGAGCAATCAAAATTGGTCGGCTGGAAAGTGACAAACAAAGGGTGGCGGCAGTATAAGTCCGTTTTATCGCTCTCGATAATCTCAGATGTAAGACTTCACTAGCCACGTCCCCATTAAATTGAAGTTTCATGAACAGTTCTTTCTTTTTAACTGTTGTCAGTTTTTCTTTGTTGTACCTGGTATTCATGTGTCTCCTAACAAATCTACTAGGATAACCCATTTGGACCAGCGTATTTTGGATATATCCTAGCTCATTTTCTAGGGAGTCATCTGTACAAATACGTCTTGCTCTATCCGTAAGGCATCTGATCAAAATGATTTTATATCGGATTGGTACAAAACTGAGGAAATGAGTATTTGTCCTACAGATGTAGGTTTTCTATAGACATCTCTCTTGAGTGAACCATCCTCTCTTCTGCTCAATTGGACGTCAAGGAAATGTAATCCACCATCATGTTCTTCTTCACAAGTGAAGATGAGCGATGGATGTGCATCATTAAACTTTTTCAACATTTCATTCTTGTCAGTTTTCACATCAAGAATAATGAACGTATCATCAACATAACGAAAATAAGCATCAGTTTTCTCTATTACGTGTCTCAATGGACCATTTTCAATCTTGGCTAGAAAGAAATCTGCAAAAATTGGCCCTAATGGAGAACCCATGGCAATACCGTCGATTTGCCTGTAGTAAAGGTTGTTGAATATGAAATGTACATTCATAGTACATCTTAAAAGCAACTCTTTCAAACTAATAACTGGAATCCCGATGTCAATCTCCTTTTCTAGTGTCTGTTGGCATATGAATTCCACAGTCTCCATAAGTGGTTCATTGGTGAACAGTGACGCTACATCTAAGGAAAACATTTGCTTCCCATTTACATTGATATCATTCAGGTTAGCAATAAATTCAAAAACGTCTTTAACACTATGGCTTACTACCAACTTGTGTGGCGGTTGGAGGAGTTCACCTTTTGAAAGTCAAACCTTGAGATTATTTCTTGACCACAACGTAAGCTAGATTCAGATTTGAGAAATAAACGCTTGTACTTCTGTAGGTACAGACTTAAAGTGTTATTTTCAATTTAGGCCACTTCCTATGAATGTGCATCTATACACTCCTGATAAACCTTGTCAGTAGCGCACGCTACAAATTTACCTCAGTAATTCTTTTTTCGAAATGAACAATTGCCGTCCCAGAGCCGCCATCATTTTCAACATCCATTCCATCCAATGTTGGGCAATTGTAGTGAGCTCTAGCTTCGTTCTGTAAAACAATAAAAGTGAAAGATTTCACATTATGAACTAAATAGAATAGATCTTCAAAATTTCAACACAGTAAAGTACATATCCCGACATCTAAGTTTCAACAGTCACATACACCTTTTTTCAAGTGTTAATTTGCAGGGTTTCAATTTATTTCAAGTTGGATCACGAACTGATAAGCATGGAGTACTGCAAAGCTGTTTCCTTCGTGATTTGCACTGTCCAGCATTGCACATCCATGACCACATCGAAGATGGTGTGGCGAACTCACTTGCGAGGTGAGCGCGCTGACCGTCCAGCCACTGGAACGGGAACGAATGGACTATAAATTCTAACTTCTTCCAATTCACGATATTTACTGAGCTGCTCTGGGTGAATGCTGTCGAAGAGTCCCAAACCCGGACGAAACACCTGTCCAGTACTCCTCAGTTTTCAATGGTTTCCAAAGTTAGTTCATAGTCTAAATGTGTACTTCTTAATAAAATATTCGTCTTAACATCATTAAGTGAAACAAAGTCACCAGTGAAATAACCGAAAATTTAAATTGGCTATACTTTTGAACTAATTCATACTGACTTACATAAAGTTCTCTGACTAAAAAAAGTACTGAAATGACAATAGCACTGATATAATTCCAACTTACTGGACATACTCAATTACGAAGGCATAGAATATTACTTCTATTGTTTTTGGTAATCAACCAAAAAGGGTTTTATTGAAAGCAGTCATGTGCTTCATTTAACTTAAAAAAGTCAAATTTGATTGAAAACTAAGTAGTACAAATAAGCCTTACACAAAACAAAAATGCTGTCTGTCAAATACTTTTTTCCAACTTCCATTAATTTTAGTGAGTTGTGTAATTTATTAATTAATATGAGAAAACAAACATTAAGCTTTTATTCAAGTATTGGTTTGTAGAGATCTGATTGATTGGTTACAAGATTTCATTATGAGCTGGCATTGGTTAGAGAACCATTGGAAAACCAACTGGGAGTACTGGACAGCTGTTTCGTCCTAGTTTGGGACTCTGGAAGGTCCTGGGTTCGAACCCCGGTGGGTGCGTGCTGATGAAGAGTCTCAGGGAGTACTGGACAGCTGTTATCTTCATAAGAAGATAAATGTCCAAAGAACCAAATAATATTAGTCAGTTATTTTTAGATTTATTAAAAGGAGAGTGCCAATAAGAAATCTATGAAAGGTGGACCTGAATAACATTTTATAGGAGACAAACAAAATTTTAAGTATACAACACTGTTGGGCGAATTCAAATCGCCTTCAACCACCGCGCAGCTGCAAGTCACCTAGCCCAAGCATGGGTAAAACATATTTCATAGTTCTTCAGTTATTTTCAAAGTCGACAAACTTATCTTTAACATGAACAGTGACAAATCAGCAGGCTCACATAGTTTTACTTCAGAAGTGCTCAAGAACGGTGGTAGAAGTTTGCTGATACAGATAGCTAAGGTCCTGGTTAATGTATGGGAACTCAAGGCAGTTCTATGAGACTCTATCTCTGTCATCACACAGAGGGGACAAATATTTTTCGAAGCGTAACAGGCGAATAAGATTAAATATAGTATAATAATATAAAAGCTTTATCCTTTAATACACGTGTGCATAGAATACAGAATTTTCAACTAGGTTTCATTTAATCCTTATACAGAATCTTCAAGTGAACCATTAACCAACAGTGTATCATTAGACAGAGATTTTTCGATCTGAAACATGCTCCGACTCACGATGTATTTGTCCCTTTAAAACAGAGTAGGTGATATGCTGAATGTCATTCAAAAATGCGCATGAGTACAGGTAGGCCTTCAAAGACAAAAACAGTCGGTTAAGATAAAGTAGAGTTGAGTAAATCTAACCCATTATGCCCTGGAAATATTAGGTAGCACAAAGATTTAAGGAGGTAGCCACTATATCGCAGTATCTAATATCTTATGATTAGTAAGAATAAGTGAAGTTCAAGAGAACTATAAAGATTTTGAGCATTGATCAGACCGTAATGACGTTATCTGCATTCTTGTATAGTTCTAGTGACCATTTATATTGATTTTTACCACAAAAATGTAGATTTGTGTGCATTTACCTGACTTTGACGTGTTGAGAGTTGACTTTCAATCAATCACAGGTTGCGATGATTAAGTGTATGTAAAGACACAGCATTTTTGGATCAAGATGTCCATGAAATGCACTGCCCTCTGACTGCTAACAGTGAAATCACCAAGGCACGCAGGATTTTAAAAATAGGCACTGAAGTGGTTGAATGTTATAAATCGCTCAAGTGACTTTGGAAATCGTATCAACCAAATGTCGTTTGGTGTTCACCAACTCATTTCATTATTTTGTTATGAAAATGTGGTATGCTTTTACCCTATTAAGAAGCAATGAAGGCAGTCTGTAATTGAGTCCACTTTTAAATTATCAACTCGATTGGCCTGTTATCTGTATTATGGGGTAGCAAAATGGAGGATAAAGTGTGCATTCACAATCAATTGCAAAAGCAGTTCATTGAGAATGATTTATGGAGTTCTGTAACTAATATGTTTCCAAAACTTTCGTGACAGAATTCTACAGTTTCATTCATCAGCGAGTTAGGGTACAATATCAGTGCACCTGAGGAGAATATGAGCCATCTATTTGAACTAATCTCCTAACATGAAAATGTACTCAAAAGAATTTAAACTTATTCTATTAATTTTGTGTGAAGTACTTTAAGACTCTAACTGATCACTTTGAAACTCAATGGCATGTGTAATAGAATGGAAAATAAATTCTGTTTTAAACACTATAGACACATCATAAAACTAAGATATAATATTCCCCATGGATTAAAGAAAATAGTAAGTGACCACTGAGATCACCCATCTTTATGTCTCCATCTTAACACACTTTTAAAACACTCTCACACACACTAGTGTTTAGCAATTACACTTCCACATATCTTGCATCTCTTGAGCCTTTTTGGATTTCTGAAACTCAATTTGATCACTTAGAAATGAATTCATCTTAACAGCATACTGATAGTTATTCACTTACCGCACACTGAGAAGTATAGTCCTTCTTTTGTTATCTCAGTTTACGGAAAACAGCTTGTTCTGGTGAGCAAAGGTTTTTGAAGACACTCCTTTTTAATGGTTTCAATATAAGTATATGATCTTCGTAAAGAATACATGCATACTAAGTACTACGCTAATTTTAGTTGTATAAGTTTTGCTCTTATCTAGTCATTGTAACGTCTACTTCTTCATGCTGTTTTTATTATATTTTTTCACAATCTGTACCAATTACAGCTATTCTTGCTACTTCTGATACTATCGTTATTTTACACTGGCATTACCAACAATATCTGCCATTAACGGCATAATTTATGATATTATGTATTACTAACCTCTAAATTCTCATCGTTACTTAACGCTTCATACACATTTAGAGTTATGTATATTACAGTAAAGTTTGAGGACTGCCTAATTTGAAGAAAGTGCTGCTCACTTACGTGTTGTTGTGTTATTAGCCTTTTGTATTCCATACCCTTCATTAATTTAATTAAGTTGATTATTTATTTTATGCTATCAATCACTTATACATTCAATGCTTCAGCGGTGTTTCATTTCAAGGGTCGACCACATCCAACAAAATGCAAACACTTTATTGTGTACTTATGCTTTTTTTCCCATTTTGAAATAAAGTTCATTTCTCTATACACACAGCTATTAATATGATAAAAAATTGTAAGTATGACTTTGAAAGCAAAACAGGCATTTATTCCTTACACAGATATCTTATAGCAAGGTTTAAAATTTCATCAGATTCGATCCTTAAAAACAACATTTGATGATCCTACTACTGATTGTTCATAAAAGTGGATTTGTTAAAATATGTGTTCTAGCACACAATAAGTAATTAATTTAATTTGAAAGTATAACAATTAAATTCTATTCCATGATGTTATATGGTGGTACATAGTGACTAGCAGTGGAATCCAGAAAGAAAACTTTCGCCCTATTTGGGACTCGTCAGTGGAATGCACCTTCAGTCCTCAGTGAGTAGTTTCACCTACTGAAACTCAACTCTAGCACCCATCGTATCAAACACCAGGCGTTGTCCAATGAGCCTTTTGTGCATCTGTACTTGGAGACAACATATCAACAGAGACCGGAAATTTCGGTCCGACATAATCAACCAATTGGAAATATAAGCATTAACTTAAAACGAACAAAATCTGTTGCATATAGAAGAAAAAGTTCAGTAACTACTATTACTTCGTTCCATATTTTAGAGAATATATATTAAATAAGAAGAAATTATCTGAACCAACGTCCATTAAAATGTAAGTCAATGAATAGACAAAACGGCTTTTTCCATTAGATTACTAGCCAAAGAAGCAGTTAAAAGTAGGGCATAGAAACAGAACACTACAGTCACTGTTAGGTAGAATTAATAAAAGTATTAACGAATTCAAACTACTAATGAAAAGGAAGTTGAAACCTATCAGCTAAAGTTGTAAGGTGAATTGAAAACAGTCTCTACATTCATTTCTCTTCGAAAGTTAAGATAACTCCAGGAAGCTTTACTCGTAATTAATCAGTAAGTTCGATTTTCTACTTACAAAGAGAAGACCTCAATGAAAGACAGAAATATTTAATGGTAGCATTCTGAATAAAACTCAAAATCTAGTTGGGAGGTGATGTTTATCAACCAATTTGAAGATCTTTACTTCAGTAACCAAGATAACCCACTTAAAATATCATAACAATAAGAGTGTTGTATAAAGTCATGGATAAACAACTTTTTTAAAAAATTTGTGTAGTCGACATGTCAAAGTTATCGGTATTTAACAAAAGTTTCAGTGATATCGGAATCATCACTTCAGCAACATTCGAAATTCAACAATTTATCCACAAAGTTAAATCCTCACTTTTCTTGAAATTCCCTTATTTTAAATCAAACATTCTACAATTCCTCTCTAGTAACACATCCATTTTTATTTATTAATCAGGACTTGCCATGCATCGGCTAACATCACACCTTTACATCTGTTCAAATTTTTGGGACTCACCCAAATGTAGTCAGTCTTCCTCTATACGAACCGAAACCTTCCTGTAGAACCTTAGTCCTATCAAAGTCAATCTTGTATCCCGTTTCTGTCAAGTGCAGTGCCGATCTGTTTTCTAGCCTCTTCAAGTCTGCAGACATTATTTAGGCTCCTTCACTCTTACATTCACCTATCTAGAATTTTCCCGGACAAATGGAGCGTCACAATCCCCACAATTTATCCGGTACAGGCAATTTAGCTAGTTGTCTTCTTTTATTTTATCCTTAACCTTCAACAGTGACGAGCGTTAGGTGTCCACCGCGCAAAAATACACTCATGTCATGACTCTTGTGGACTAGCTTTATTTCATCCGATGTTTTTTCGTGATAAGGAATCGCCACTGTACTAACCCAAGTTTTAGGAACAGGTTTCGATTTATCCTTATCTTGACATTTTAAGTAGGGTTTCATGAGGGCTTTCGTTTAATTATTCGATTCAAGAATAGACCGAAGAGATCAACAACGAACTAAAATTGGTTCGAATTACATTGGCATTACTTATTTCAATTTCGATGAGATCTTACAAATATGTCAACTTCTCACTTGATGCTCAATTATTTTTTGGAACTGTTCGGTCAAATCCTGATCACAGTTCAAATGAACTCTACTACTCCATTTACACCCAACATAGTTACTTTTGACATTTATTCATAGAGCTGTCTTGTTTAATGTATACCATTGTTCTCGACTTGAGTTTTCACTCAAAATGTTATCACTGTGTGTTTTAAGAGCAGCTCGAGTGTGGTGATCAGACTGAAATCATTATAATAGACAATGTGACTTATTTTATGCAGTAAATGATAACTCACCAATAGGTTTGGAAGAACAAAGGCACTAACCGTGCGTGTAGTCGTAGAAACTGCAGAAACCCAGGTGCGTTGAAAGGTTCTGATAGTTGATGTACTTAAAACAAAAAGCAATGAAATAACATATGTGAGCTTTACTTATGTTTCGTTGTTCTTTGGGCTTGGTATTTCTTGTACAGAATTCTGAGAATACTTATTTGATTACTAATTAATAAACCGACTTCAAAGTGAGCCATGTTTGAATTTTTAACAGAAACGAAGTTTCCCAATCTTCATAGGTTTTCAAAAAATACGGAAACTAAAGTTTTCTCTACAAATCATGTTACCAAAACCTTGTTACAGTATGCAAACATGAACAAAGCTAGTCAAAGAGAACTCAGAGATGACGTAAATTCAGTGTGATTTCCTTTCGTGTATACCTGAAATAACCGTCAAACTCAGAGTTACTCATAGTCTAGCGAAAAATGACTGAAAGCGACCAGCTCTTCACTTTGAATAACTGAAAAAGTCTTTTGTAGCTAACGTAACCAATGAAGTCTTCATAAAATCAACCTCTGTCGAAAAGAAGAACAGCTTTTTAAAAAATCCCATTATTTCAGTAGGAAATATACTTCTCCAATTAACCCTTTCTTCTTATAGCAGCATTATTTCAACAGAGTTGAACTGAAAGATAATTGATTACAGGATTTCATCATGAGCTGACATTGGTTAGAGAACCATTGGAAAACCAGGGAGTACTGGATAGCTGTTTCGTCCTAGTTTGGGACTCTTCATCAGCACGCACCCACCGCCAAGGTTCGAACCCAGGACCTTCTGGTTACAAGGCGAGCTAGTGCGTGTACCATTAAGCCACTGAGACCCGATCCAATGGCCCATGAATTCTAACTTCTGCCAATTCACGACAAAGCGCGACCCTTAGCCAATGTCTTCGGCAAGTATTTGTCCTCACACTCGACCTGCTGCACCCTACTGGTCACGACTTCTCACTAGAACCCCAGGTAACTACCTACCTGAATAGAGCAAGTTGCTAGTGAGCATCTCATTGATATTCAAGTGATGGTTTGTAGGGATTTGATTGGTTACAGGAGAAATACTCGCCGAAGACATTGGCTAGGGGTCGCGCTATATCGTGAATTGGCAGAAGTTAGAATTCATGGGCTGGCCATTGGATCGGGTCCCAGTGGCTTAATGGTATACGAGCTCGCCTTGTAACCATAAGGTCCTGGGTTCGAATCCCGGTGGGTGCGTACAGATGAAGAGTCCCAAACAAGGACGAAATAGCTGTCCAGTACTCCCAGGATTTCCAATGGTTCGAAATCCTGTAACCAGTCAAATCCCTACAAACCAACACTTGAAAGATAATTGTCTGCAACCAGCATTTAAATAGTGCCACAGTTAGACCAGGCCAACGTACCATCTAAGCAACTCACAGTTTCCCATAACCTCGATTAAAAATTTGACGCAGTTTTATCAAAACTTCATTCTATTCAACAACAGCGCCAAAACCATATACTTTGCTAAAATAGGTTGACATGACAACATGTCGTGTACAAGCAGTGCAAGATATCAAATAGCTATTTTTAAATTTCAAGTTTTAAAAAACTAGTCAGAAAAATTTATACCAAATTGTGAATAAAAAGGGTTTCTGTATCAGAAAAAATACAAAACAATGTCTTCACATACCTTGCATTAAAAATAAAGTCAGAATCCTGACCAAGCGCAGGTAAATCAGTCTGTGGATCTCGTGGTGTTCTTGGATTGCCATTTTCATCACGCAGAAAAGCATATGATGTGCTTGAAAAACCCTATAAATAGATAACAGTAAAATAAATCTGAGGGGATGAAAAATGGTCAACTTTTATTCAAAAAAAATTGTCTAATTCACATACAAGTGAAATAGTGTACAACTGTGAAGCGCACGTCTGTGCGGAGGTCAACAGAACTCAGCATCAAAAATAAGATCCGGATTTTCAACTCCAATGTGAAGTCAGTGCTACTATACGGATCAGAGAATTGGTGCGTCATGAAGAGCACCTCAAACAAACGACAGACCTTCATTAACAGTTGTCTTCGCTCAATACCACTCAAGATCAGATGGCCGGCCAGAAAAGATCAGCATTAGGGATCTCTGGGAGCGAACCAACCAGGAACTGATTGTGAAACAAATAAGCGAGAAGAAATGGAGATGGATTGGCCATACTCTGAGGAAACCATCAAGTGACATCACTAGACAAGCCATTGCTCGAGTGGAACCCGACAGAATGGGAAGCGGCGAGTTGGTCGTCAGTGCAAGGGTGACTTGGATGAGGTCATGTGAAGAGGAGATGAAAGCGTGTGGGCAGACTTGAAGCCAGTTGAAAACTCTAGCAGAGAACAGAACGCAATGGAGACGCACGGCTGAAGCCCTATGTTCCTCTAGGAATTAAAGGATACAATAATAATATAAGGCGCACTATGCACCATCCAGGTAGAATTTTGTCTTCATAAAAAGTTTTGCTGAAAGCCATTTCGGACTTTTGTTTATCATCTCTTGTCTTTATTATCATGCAACTAACAGTAAATGATTGAAAAATCGGTAGCGACAGATACTCTGGTAATTCTCCACTATGTCACTATGCATTCATTATTAGGAAAGATGTCTTATCAAATCTTGATTGTTTCGATCAACGTTTTTACTTGAGTATAGATGGTCATTGAAATAAATAACCACGTACAACAGATACTCAAAACGTAAGATGAATACATCATTAAAAGTAGAACGCCACAAAGCTGAAATCCTACATTGTTTATTTCAAAGTACTTTGTTGATGCAAATGATAATTAGTGATATAAGTATAAAACTTGGGCACTGTGCCGGTAGAGTGTAACTCCATTAAAGATAAGATTTTATTTTGATAAATCAGACAGTGTTATACAGTAATATTAATTGATGACCAAGTCTCCAGCACAAACTATTACTGCTCATAATCATATCAAGTCAATCACACAACTTCCTTGCTTCATTTATATACGTGAGTGAAACTGATAATTAGACATTTGAATAAAAATCAATATAGGATAATGTACATTCAGAAATAATAATATGCGTGTTATTGTTCAAATAAAATCAGATGGGAAATAAGACGAGTGTTTTCATTTGACACCAGTAACTAGTGTGATGTATCTAGTCCTCTCTTTGGTGCAGACTGAATTCTATCAGTCAGGCTGTGATGTGGCCACCATTCTAGGTAGCTCGCCATCACGGTGCACATTGATTTGATGATATTAAGACGAGTGTTTTTATTGTCAAAATAAGTAACTTGTTAGAATGTTATGATGTACATGAATTGAAATAGAATTTTAAGATTATTCAGTATCCTCCTCTGATTTGACTGACTGGTGGTAAGAATATCTTCCATATCTCTGATATTTGCGTTGAGTCATTTCGCTTGCATGTGTTGTGTTGGGTGTAGATGTACTCAATGAACCAGGTGGGATTCAGCAATCAATCAATCTCTCTCCACCTACTTATATTACTTATATTATAGAATTTTAACCCTCTCCCACCCCATTGTGTGATTGTATGTTAATGCATGCAGTGAAATCGCTGAGCTTTTTCTAAATTACTTATAATAATTATTACTCATATACTTATTATTATTGTTATTTTTAATAATTACTTATGATAATTATTTATGTAATAAACTGCAAACTATGGAGTAATTTTATTGAGGTACGCAATTGTTTTAAACTCCATTGTACTCCAAGTGGAACATAGGACTTCAAGACTGAAGCTGTGAAGTTTCAGTAGCGGTGGTGCTTTTATGAGATGCAGTTGCTTGCAGCCTTCTCTCTTAACCAGTCTTATCACCGGTTAAGTAGGAAGGATATCGGAATGCGTCAGTCAGAAGACGAACCAGGATCACGTGTGTGTAGTTGACCAGTATTCTGCTACTAAACCACTGATGCGCATTATTAGGTTCAGCTAAAAACTACCATCGACGTATGTTATTGCGAAAGCTGATACAAGAATAATTTTTCACAGATTAAATATGTTTTCATCACACACACACACACATCTTTGGTATTTAAAGTGTTAATATTATGAAATAGACACAGTGTGCACTTATAAGTTCCGATTATTCAGTTTTGCTCTGTTTATTTATACATAAAAGGAAGTGACCTCCAAACAACATGGTATTTATAATTTTGTTTAATATCATGTTATATATTTTCTAATAAATACCATCATCCAAAACTTAGAACTTATCCATAATGTTACTCGGTGGATAGTGACTAGCAGTGGAATTCAAAACATGCATATTTCGTCCTATTTGAGACTCTTCATCTGGATGTACCTGTAATTCTCAGAAAATGATGGTGATCCCACTGGGATTTGAACCCACTGTTCCAAGCAACCAGAAATTTCAGTACGATATAATCAAGCAATGGCAATTAGGGTTACTATTCTGGTTGAACTGGCGTTTGAAACGAGGGGTAAGAGATACAAATCTCTGTGGGGAAGTTAGGAGTGAAGGTACATCCAGCTGACCAGTCTCTAATAGAAAGAAATAAGCATTCTTGAATCCACTGCTAGTCATTATTCATTAAATAACATCACAGAAGTCCACAGACATCATCGAGCCATCCATACTACGAGCAGACATGTCAAGAAGACGGGGGTATTTTGGTCCAGTATAATTAATCAACGGGAAATGCAAAAACAGTTTAAATTATAACTTATTCGTTTGTTTAGTTAAATAAGATAACCATTCAGCCATAATAATTCGTCCACACATATATGGTTTATAGAGGTTATACTATCTACTGAGCTGCCGACAAGTGGAAGAAAAGCTTACGCGTAGTTCGACCGTAAGTCAGGCTTCCTAGATTTTATATGAGACATGTAAGTCATGTGTCTAAGTTGCATATATCGTCTTGTTCAAATTTTCAAATCCTTAGTAATTTTATTTATTTTGAACATTTGAAACCTCAACTTCTGTAATGTAGAAATGTAGTGTAATTAAGTAATCTAGAAAACAAGAAGTGTTCGCCGGACTTCCCCACTGAAAGTCATATAAAAACAGGCTGCAGAGTAAACTGGAAATAACGAAATATCCATCTTCAAGGTAAGTAAACCAAAGTGATCAAGTTCCAGATAATTTTCTGAAAGTATGAAGTTCCTGAATTTAGAAATCATCACGACACAAGGTAGACAATCTAGATTCACCTACACAAACCAGTACATTATTTAGTGACTTCATGAATTGACAGCACATGTTTTTTTGGTCTTTCTTACTTTATCACTTCACACATAACACACATAATCCATGTTATTAGGTATGTGAAAATTTCCAGTCTTATCAATCCCACAAAGTCATCATTCAATAAAAAAGTAGTGACTTCCTGTAACCCTTTAACTCTGAAAGATATATCTCACAGTAGTAGAGTGGCTGGTTGTCAAGCCCCTGTTCAGTTAGTTATATAGGCCATACAGTTAGGCGTGTTTAATCGTCGAATTTCCGAACACCATACTGCGTAGTTAAGTAAGGGAGAAACAAACTCTCTTCATATTCTATACTGTCTCATCTTGTAGACACAGAACAGAGAATAGATGTGAACAAGGCCTTCAAAGTTAATGTTACCTCAAGAGTTCGTCTATTACATTATTGTTGAGGCTGTTGTAATCTACATTAAGAAGCCTAATCTATTAATCTAAAAGAAACTGGTTCAGACACTTTCCTTACCCTGGTCATCAAGGCTTTAATTATCCTTAATTTTTTGTAGAGATTCTCTTGATTTTTTCTGATACTGTGTTTACTTTTTTTAAGCTTATTTTAACGTATGCATCCTTCTTAAACTGTAGTCTCATCTTAACAAAGGGATAGTATTTAAAAAACACCAATTATGTTAACGATGATTATTCTAGAATATTCTATATATATATAAATATATATATATAATTGTAGTGTCGGAAGGGGAAATTATCGAAAAGGATATTCTTCGCTCAAATTATCTTCTGTATTCTAGGCAGAAGTAGTTTTTTGTAGCTTTTGACTATGATCTATGCACCCAAAGAGTTCATCAAAATTAAATCAACAATGAGTGACAACAGTACTATCTCTACGCTTGTTAACATTTGTGTAAACACCTTTTTTTAAATATTGTAAAGCTCAGAGATGCTTGCAGCTGACATTAAACTATAAAGTTCGCCCTTTAATAGTTAGAATAAAAAGTTTATTTCCAACAAAACTATCACTATATTATTATTGTTCCCTTGGGTTCCTAGTGGAACATAGGGCTTCAGCTGCACGCCTCCACTTGCTTCTGTCTTCTGCTGTACTTTTCACTTGCGCCCATGTTAATCCATACTGTTTCAACTCTTCTTCACACGATCTCCTCCATGTCACCCTTGGACGTCACACTCGCCGCTTCCCTTTCGGGTTCCACTCGAGCGATGGCCTGAAGCGCGATGTCACCCAGCGGCCTCCTCAGTGAGTGTCCAATCCATCTCCAATTTCTCCTGCATATTTGTTGGGCGATTGGTTCTTGTTTCGTTTGTTCCCATAGCTTCTTGTTTGTGATTCTTTCCGGCCATGTGATCTTCAGTATAGAGCGAAGACAGTTGTTGATAAAGGTCTGCAACAGGCTGTTGGAAATATTCTTTGTGACCCCCCAAGTTTCTGATCCGTATAGCAAAACTGACTTGACGTTTGTATTGAAAATCAGAATCATTTTGTTGTTGATGCTGAGTGACGAAGATTTCATTTCCAGATTGGTTTCAGGTTGATGAATGTGTTTCTCACCTTCTCGATTCTCGATTTGACATCCTCGTCCGTTCCTCCTGTAGTTGAGACATTGCTCCCTACCTAGATAAACGAATGAAGTAACCTCTTTCAAATCCCTCCCGTTGATGGTGATTGGCGGTGGATGTTGCTGCTGTTGTTGTTGTTGGTTATTTTCATGACCTCCGTCTTGTCTATGTTCACCTGGAGTCCTGTCTTTGCTGCTTCTTCGACCAGTTTGTCGGTTTTCGCTTGTAAGTCTTCGATTTTGTGTGACATCAAACATAAATCATCCACGCGCGAAATCCAGGTCTTCTAGGTTTTTCATGTCGGTCTAGGATATCCATGTCTTCTCGTTTCCCACTGTCTGACGCATAATCCAACAAAACTATACTCATAATTTAAAGTTTGAGCATTGTCTCAAAATATTAGGCCGTGAATGAAATCACTTAATTAATTTTGCTTCGATCAGTGAAGGCGTGTCAGGAGTTAAATGGGAGGACTTTATTGTTTTATTATAAGGACTATTATCTGAGATTTTATCTAAACATTATTCAGCTTGATAAAAAGGCGTAATAATTAGAAGAGAACAGGATTAATTCCACCACTTGTTGTGTTTACGATTAAACTTAACTTACTCTCTCTCTCAAGTGAACATCGTAAATAGCTAGTGGTTCAACAGACTAGCGGTGTTATTTTTGCAAGAGAACAGCATAGATGAAACAGCATATTTTTGATGTTAACTTATCTCAAGTAGCAGTTTCCAAGTTGAATATCAAAGAATTTAAAAACAGGGTTAATTTCTATTTTCGCATTTTATGCATTTTCAGCAAAACTCATCTAGTTTTAATGTAAATGCTCCACAGACTCATAATTTTTAACTTACTAAAGCGTGTGCCATTTCATGAATGAAGGTGGAAATTGTAGCACGAATTTCACCTGTTGATCCAGACAACTGATTTGGACACATGTTTACATAACCTGCAACAGGCCTGAAATAAATAATTTACACTTGACATTACATTTAGTTTAATAGTTATCTGAGAAAACAAAATTTATTACTATTACTTTTTTACTGTTAGGTTGGTAATGTGAAATACCGAAAATGAACAGTTGTCGCTGTTTTAACTATGCACACGTGACTATATATAATCTTTCACATTCACTTGATCACATATTTTTCTGGTGTTTCAGGGAAACACGAATAAGTAAGTACCGGCTGCTTTAAGATTATTTGTGAGTTTGAGATGGGCATTTTCACAACGTCTTCTTGAAACTGAATCTATGAAGTGCATAAAGTTTCTTTATTCGTCTTCTAGTAGTTCGAAATGTTTCTTTCTATCTCTGTTAATCGAGATTTTATTTCATCAATTACATTTAACATATGACATCTCAGAGAACAGTGGCTAGGCATCGTCGAAGCATCTGCTTAAGAAGCCGACATGTCAACCTGAGACCGATCACGTCGGTCCAGTCAATCAACGGGAAAATCTAAAATTCAATTAAATCAATATGACCCATTGCAGAAGAAGTGGCTCTCGTGGCCCAAGTGGTCTAGTGGATAACGCTTTGGAGTTGGAAACTAAGGGCACTGGGTTCGAGCCTCGGTGGGAACATCATCACTCACTGGGAAATGCAGGTAATCCAAACGAAGAGTCCCAAATAGGACGAAATGAGCATCCTGGATTCCACTGCTAGTCACCAGCCACAAATTAAAAGGTTAGATATGAGTTTGATGATGATATTTCCAGAAATGCTTGGGATATTCTTTCTTATTGATACAGCTCTCCAGAAAATTGATTTTGGTGTTCCCCTATGGTTAGCTTGACGGAAAGCTAAAGAGAAGTATCAAATTCTTTCACTTTCATAGGGTTTTTGCTAAGTGTCAGAAGACCACAAATACCTATATTTGACTATCAAGTAACTTAATTCTAGAAACCACTTCTGAGTAATTACATCAGTTGTGTCACCCTACTAATACTCAATAGTTGTTCTAAAATGAGTTTTCACTGATTAGGAATAGGACTGTACAGCATCTCAAGACTGATTTCGTCAACAACAAAAAATTTGATTCGTTGACTTGTCTTTCATTTTCTTTATCACTCAATGGATATTTCCAATCCTGTACATGACAAGTAAATTTGTCAACAGAAAAGTCCTAAAACTTTATATAATTACAAGAAATAATAAACGTTTTCTCCCCCCTAAGATCAAGAATTTTCCATTTTGTAAATACAACCAAAAATGATTAGAATTATATATAACAGTGACATCGTGACACCATGATGAATTAGGCTGTCTTCACAAGGACTGCGAAAATCGCTCAGGAAAATATTTTCACTCAGTGGTTTTAATTGTGTTGCATTCATCCAAGAACATGGAATAACTTACCAATAATGACAGTTACCTGAGGATACATATAGGTGCCACTGACAGTACTAGGTTTTAAATCGTTTTCTTGTTATTATATTTTGTAATCTGCCTGGTCTGACACCCATTCAGTGTTTTCTTCATGTCTTTGTAATTTTGAGTGTAATGTGAGGATTCTAGCTTTGAAGTTCCAGAAACGCTTAAGTTGTTTTACGGAAATGGATCGTTGACAACACGCATAAGATCATCCCTTTTCCAGGATTATTATTATTATTGTATCCTTTAATTTTCAGAGGAACATAGGGCTTCAGCCGGGCGTCTCCATTGCGTTCGGTTCTCTCCTAGAGTCTTCACCTGGCACCAAGTCTGCCCACACGCTTTCATCTCCTCTTCACATGACCTCCTCCAAGTCACCCTCACATTGACGACCAACTCGCCGCTTCCCTTTCGGGTTCCACTCGAGTGATGGCTTGTCTAGTGATGTCACTTGCTGGTTTCCTCAGAGTATGGCCAATCCATCTCCATTTCTTCTTGCCTATTTGTTTCACAATCGGTTCCTGCTGGGTTGGTTCGCTCCCAGAGATCTCTGTTGCTGATCTTTTCTGGCCGGCCATCTGATCTAGAGTATTGGGCGAAGACAGCTGCTAATGAGGGTCTGTAGTTTGTTTGAGATGCTCTTTGTGACGCGCAGTGCAAGTCTCTGATCCGTATAGTGAGTAGCGCTGACTTCACATTGGAGTTGAAAATCCGGATCTTATTTTTGATGCTGAGTGCTGTTGATCTCCACACAGACTTGAGAGTAGTGGAAGCTTGTCTTGCTTTTCTGATTCTTAACTTGATATCCTCGTCAGTTCCATCGGCCTGTAGTTGAAACGATGCTTCCCAGGTAGGTGGGTAAAAGAGGTTGTTTTTTTCAGGTTCCTTCCATTTATGCTTATTGTTGTCTGTTGTTGTTCTTGTCCAGGAATCTTCATCATCTCTGTTTTCACTATGTTCACCTGAAGTCCTATCTTCTCTGGATGCTTCTTCTGCCAACTTGTTGCTTTTCGCTTGCATATCTTCCAGTTTTTCGGAAATCAGGATTACTGCCGGTTAATAAACTAAGTGATTTTTAAGAGTATATCGGTTAAGAATCTAATCGGAACCTCTCACGCGGCTGATGAGCACCCTGTCAGTAAACCACCGATGTACTTATCAATAATAATCATGTTAATTCAAAAGTTTTGATGGAATATTTATTACTACCATACTTGACAGTTAGACGATGTAATCCATCCATAAAACTACTTTTCTTTTATCTACCCCCATTTCGTGAGTACACAAAGATAAAAGATCAAAACTTTTACCTATCGGTACCAGATTCAAGTTGACAGGCTAGGGCATAAGCCAACAGATCATCAGCTTTACACGGATCCGTTGCAGAAGCATCGACAAAAACCAAATAACCGTTCGGTGGTATTCCAACTCCTCTTTCTCCTTGAACAGTTGGTTGACTCCCATTGAGCTGTTTACATCCCTACAAGAATGCAGCATAAAGCACACAGAATAACACCATTTTATATTGATTGTGTAAGGAAACGCGGATGGATGTTACGAACAAATCAGAGCAGACTTACCTACTTTTGTTGTTTTCAACCAATAAAACGCTCTACTGTTTAAGAACGTTATGACTTAAAGCATCTCATATGACTAAGTTGCGACATTTAACTGCCTATATGTGTGTTTACCTTATAATTAAGATTCCTCAAATGCTGTAAAACGTGATATAAATTCAGATTATTTAAAATACAAGCATTTATTCTAACGGAATCTTACACTTATTGAATATGTATTTAACATATTTAAACATAAACCTTCTATAGTACAGACATAGCAGAAGAATACAGTAGAATTTAGTAGCAATTGTTTATTTTCCAAATAATAAACAGTGATAAATAAATACATAAACCTTAAACTGGAATTTTCACTTGCTGATTTCTTCCTGTTCTACTTCTTTTGTCTCACTTTCATGCTTTCTAAATTGCTTCACAAAGATCTGAATTTCCCCCTCATCATTACTTCATCCATCGCCCTGCTATTCAACCTTCTTGGCGAAGACAACAATCACAACATACTACTTATAAATTCTTGCCAGTAGCACGCGTAAAATAGACACAATAAAGTGCCACACTTAATAATTTAAGAATGTAAGAAACGCGAGAAACATGCAGAATGAATTGCTTTGGAATGCGCACAAAGATGAGAAAACCACAGCAATATCTTCACTGATTTCTATTTCTAGGGAGGTTGCTGTGTCACATTGTTATGACACTTCAGCCAGGAAGTGCAACACCAGCTGAAATCCCTTAGGTTAAATGTCTTGCGGTTTTATAACAACCTTATTGTTTTTTTCCAGATACGCACCATCCCACCTCAAAATTACTTAAGTCATTTGGCCAATGGTTGCAGTTAGTCCTACATAGACAATATGGATCAAACATAATGGGCAGTCAGACATCACTAGTGAGAAAACACCAGGTGTTAGCAGTAAAGTGTACAAGTGTGCCCAACAAACCGCCGTAAACTCGACCTCTGATCGTCAGACAAACTAGTGATCTACTTTATGTGGTTTAAAACTTAGGGCATCAGACTTTTAGTGATTCTCGCATAACTGCCTATATATGCGGGAATTTTTCGAGTTTTTTCAGTGGTTCAGCTCCGAAGATGTCTGCAGTCATATTCAACTAACAGTCCTCTTTTAAGCGTTGTGAGAAGTCACATGTTGAGGCGATTGTCACAAAAATCATACAAACTCTGCTTATGGGCACACATATAATGCAACCTGTGAAGGTGAAATAAATCTGAGTATTTAGGTCGGAAAGGTGAAATGCACTTTCACCTATTATAATTAATCGTCCTTCATTTTTCATTAGGTCGGAAACTATTCAATCCACAGCAGCATTTGAAAACTTGGACTAAAGACTCAATGACTTTACAACTTTAAAATGTGGTACAGAATAAATAAATAAAAATATAACAAAACAAACAGCTCAAAGAACACTTTTAATTGCAAAACAAAAAATGTATAGAAAACACCTACATTGAGATAAGTATTTGGTATAGGCTCCGTAAAACAACGCGTAACACTTTCACAGCCTTTATTGCAGTACATACCAACAGTCCCGTTCGGCCATCTGATGTAAGAAACCTGTGACTCGAGGCATTGTCTAATAATAAAATAAAATAAAAAATAAATTTTAACGCTTTTGTGTTTTTCATTCATTTAGGCCATTTTCAAACAAATTTTCAATTTACACAATTCGAGGTGATTCCTTTGCAAACTAAAATTATTGAGATGAAAGCATGTGATCTGCTTGATACCATTAAAAGGTATATAAAAAATCAAAAAAAAAAAATAAAACTATGTACTACTAATTGACTGATATGAGTAGTCGTTTACTAGTTACAACACCTGGACTGGATGGAGTTTCACTCGTTTCGGGCTAAGCTCCTCAGCGATGTACTTGATTTGACTCAGTTCAGAGTGCCGAATCAGTTCAAGCCACCAAATTTCTGACTAACTACTTGACTGGAGTTTTAAATGCACAAAAATTGATTGCTTAACCTAAAAGTTTGTACTTATATTCATTATTATATAGTTTTTTCAAAACTTTATTTTTATATATAGACGCTTTTATGTTAAGTACATTAGATCAAAATATACTAGAAAATGAAATGCTCACAGTGTATGATCCTTAAGCAAAACCTATTAACCAATGATGTAGTTACCTAAACAAACAATATTATTATCCATATTTTACAAAAATGAAAGATTTTCAACTCATCGAATGTTTATATCACCAATTTTGAAAGTTAGTTATTATTATTATTATTTTATAAAGATATCTAACCTTTCGAGTAAAATATTCCCTGTAGGCATCCTTTTAACACTAAGCGTTTTTTCCCAAAATGTCAGTGACGGTAAGACAATATTTGTCTGTAAATTCGAAAAAGAGTTTATTTGGATTAATTAGGGATAGAAAAAAAACTTTGTTATAATTGAACACACTGTGGATATGATAAATATTAATAATGCGGGCAAAATTTCCAGTTGTATTCTAGTGAACATCTATTCAGCATTCAGAATGATGGTTTTGAGAGTAGAATTATTCACTGGGGTTCAGTTTTACTCTACCTGATAAATCCCAAACCAAATAATCCTCTGCACATCAACGCTTGAAAATTACGAGTCGAAATGCTCATCCTGGATTGCACTGCTAGTCATAATCAACAGAATAAATACTAAGTTGTTGTCGAAAGTTGGAGGTTTTGTTTGAGAAAATATCATATACGCTTGTTTTCAAGCCATACAAATGCTTGCTATAAAACGTAAAAAGCCATTATAAAAAGATTTCGAAATAACAGAGAGAATATTTGTAGTTCAGGTGGAAGATTTTCAATTAGTTATATTCGCTGAGCTGGTCGGTCTAATTGTGCAGCTTTCATCTTCCCCTTCTGGACAACATCTGTATTGATCAGTACAGATGTAAATCGACTACCAGTCACGAAGATGGTTGCCAAGAGATACAATTCTACCATTCATGGAGAATTTAAACCAGTTCATATTATACTAAAACTCGCTCTGAAGATGTTGTCCAGAAGGACGACGAAAGCTCCATAATTAAACCGACCAGCTCAGCAAATAATACAACTAATTACAAATAAAACAAATTTCATCAATAAGGACAAATTAAGAATATATCTAACTCCTTCTTGCTAATCATAGCTGTTTTATGACTGAATTTCTGACAAATCAATTAACAACATCGTGAGAAAACCAACCCGTGGTAAGTGATATATGCATATTGAAATTACAGTAAACATCTTAACAAGAGTTTAAATGCATGCGAAAAAACGTTATATAACGTTTCTAAGATGATATAAGACTTATCTTGATGATGCTCACTTAAGGCAAAATGATACACTTTCTCATATGTACGAAAAAAGTCTTAAGACTTTTTAAAAAATGTAGAAATACAAATAGATTTATACTCTACATGTTCTAAAAATCAGTTTAAACAAATTGCTTTGGTTTTGTGAATAAATTTCACACAATACTTAGTACATAAATTAAATGAATTTCACAACAACAAAAATTTAAATTAAGCATTCACAAGACAAACAAACATATACCGAGATGATATCGTTGTGTATTCTGTCTAGAATCGCATTATAACGAGTATAGTTACCATGGTTGATATATTGATTCTATAACAAGGCATTCGTAAATGTTCTCAGTGAATAACGAGGCTGAATGTTTTTTTCAGGTTTTCTGTGGTGTAATAGCCAGCTGGGAACAAGTTCTTCCAGGTAACTGTGACACCTTCTACTGGTCCTAAATATATGTGTTGCGGGAACATATGTGTTGAAAATGATTGTTAACTAAGGCAGAGGAGCAGCGTCAGGAGCTGCATTCTGACGGTCACCGGTGAATAAAGGAGGTTCATACACCATTTAGAGCTCATGTTCACCATAGATTTGAAATTGAGGTTCTTCAGCTCACCTGGGTAGAACAGCATATCCAGTAGTCTGGTTGTAAGAGCCAAATGTTGGTATTTGCCCTTTCACTTTTATGAGGAATATCGCCTTCACGTGAAAGCGAATTGAAAATCAGCGGAATTATTTATATTAAACACAAATTAAAAGCACTCAGTATGGCAGGACTTGGTTATACGAAGTAACCTGCTTAATTTTGAGGTAACTTTTAAAAATCCGGAATGACCAATTTCACGCATGAAACAGTGAAATTAGACAAAGACCAAATGCTGACAGACTGCTAAGGCAATGAACAACTGAACTAGCAATTGGTTTGTACACCAATTTTGATAAGTTCATTTCTGAGATACTGTTTGCCACCGTACTTCTACTCATTGTTCTAGCTACTCCTTGGCTTTCAGTTGATAGTGTTTTGAAGCAATGTATTCTCAGTCATGTGATTCATGTTTCTGCGGCTTTAGTTTTTCTGACCAACTCACCAGCTTTTACGAAGTGAGCACCGAAATGTGTGACAAGCTTTATGGTGGAATTATATGCCAGATAGATCTAAATATCTGCAAATTTGTTGAAAAGCGTCTATTCGGAAGAAACAGTATGGTAAACAGCAACGGTGTGGTGAGAGCGGTCTACTAGCCAAGTGGTGGACAGTAATTGAGGTCAATGTTTATGTATCAAATATTAGTCATGTTGTGGTGAGAGATGGTTGCTGGCCAAATTGGTTGACAGTAATTGAGGTCAAAGGTCAAGGTGGACAGGCGGTTACAGTTAACATATAGATGAACTGACACAGCCACAAGAGATGCAAGGTTAACTTTGTGTGAGAAACAACCAATCAACAGACTGTATTTTCTACTAACATTGACCTACAATAATGTACATAAAAATCTATAAATACGTGTTGATTTTTCGTAATAAACGATCTGTTGCCTGGCCCTTGTCTTCTGTTGTTACATTTGGTGTCGCTGCCTACCGACAAATGGAAAGCCTATACCCTGCAGTTTTTGATGAAGACATATGGATCTTCGGGCAGGACTTTGAGGCTTATTCGCAGTTGAGTGGCGTTCAAGATCTGTCAGCGATAAGGCTGCTACTTGGGATGCTGCTGGGAGGTCGGGAGAAAGCAGCATATGGAAGTGTGAGGCGAAATACCTACGAATGTGCGACAGGGTCAGGCAAACAGTTTCCAAAGTGGGAAGGACCATATATGGTCACGTTGAGATGGGGTTACGCAGACACAATCGCAATGGTAAACACCGTTAAACAAGTGGACATCCGCAAGCGCCGAGATTCCAGACAGCAAGACAACAGAGCGAAGCCCCAAGAACCGAGAAGACCGAGCCGACTTCAGTCCAAACTATTTCGCGGGGGGACGAGTGTGGTGAGAGCGGTCTACTAGCCAAGTGGTGGACAGTAATTGAGGTCAATGTTTATGTATCAAATATTAGTCATGTTGTGGTGAGAGATGGTTGCTGGCCAAATTGGTTGACAGTAATTGAGGTCAAAGGTCAAGGTGGACAGGCGGTTACAGTTAACATATAGATGAACTGACACAGCCACAAGAGATGCAAGGTTAACTTTGTGTGAGAAACAACCAATCAACAGACTGTATTTTCTACTAACATTGACCTACAATAATGTACATAAAAGTCTATAAATACGTGTTGATTTTTCGTAATAAACGATCTGTTGCCTGGCCCTTGTCTTCTGTTGTTACAACGGGTTCGCTGTACACTGTGAATCCATCTAGTTTGCGTTTACATAAGTAAGATGCAACTGTGTTTATTTTAAGCAACTTGAGGCTGTAATTAAATAAATACAACAACCTACAGTTTTAGTAATAAATTCTTCAAATGATCCATTGTTTTATTTTAAATAAGAACAGTTTTTCATTCTGTACACATAACTTTCAGCCTCAGCGAAGTGTAATTTATAGTTCAGATGTTTGCTTGTCTACACTTGTTCAACTTGTTGACAAAATCTGTGGCCTAATAAGCATCTGACAACTACCCTTTCTTAAAAAGATGTGAAAAAGTGTTACATGGTTATAAATGCCTGGATGAAAACAAATGCTTTTGTGCATCAGTGATTCAGTTATAGAAATGCTTGCAGAATACGCACGAGGTCCGGTTAGATTCCTGGCCGATGCACTGCTACATCTTGCTGTTCCATTGGTAAGCCTGGTAAAGAGGGGAAGTTAGGTGTGGGGCTAGCGAACCCACACCGCATAAATGAATTTCTACTGAAATTTCAAAGCTCAAATTTGAAGCCCCAGACCCCATTCAGAATGAATGAATATATACGTATACATATGCTCCACCATAAACTGCAGAATACTGATATCCTTGTAAAATGATTGCAGTAATCTTGCCTCCTGAGAAAGCAGTCAAAATGATTATACAGTAAATATACTTTATTGTATATCATAAAAGGTTAGCTGATATAGGAAAAATGCATAGTAAATCAATGTTACTAATTGAAACATGGTTCCCTTCAGGAAATAAATTCCAATATGTAATTAAATGGTCGGTTTTTCTTAAGTGCAATACTAACGTGGAAAAAACTATGGTTCAAAATGGCCTGAACGTGAACGGTGCATAACATCGAGTATTTGCATTATATCCCTTAACTATATCAAGTTTATCACAAATAAACGTGTCGTACGTAAAATTTAGTCTTCAGACCAAAGAAGTTCTATCATAGCGCTCTCAGTGATAATGATTGGACACTATTTACTAACTAGTGTAATGTGTCTAGTCCTTTGTTTGGTGCAGAGTGAATTCTATCAGTCAAGTTTGCAATGTGGCCACCATTCTAAGTAGCTCGCCGTCACAGTGCACCATCAATTTTTGGCATTAGATGGTTGGAGACAGTCAGCAGGAATTGACAGACTAACTGATAGAATTCAGTCTGCACCGAAGATAGGACTAGACACATTACACTAGTTACTGACTAGTGTCCAATCAAAAATATCCAATACAGTCCTACAGGAGGTCGACCGCGAGCCTGAACAGCTCCTGGGTAACGTCTCTGACTGCAGCAGTGGGTGATGTGGGTTCGAATCTCAGAAGGGACATGAATACCCTCGACGTTGCAGATACGCCTTGCTGATGAGTGCCCGCTAGCACGAAACCTAGGTTCAAGGCTTCTTGCCAATTGCCTCCAACCATCTAATTATACTGTAGGATCACTTGACACACGAACCATCCCTCAAAACAACGTTCCCTTAGCGAATTTCACTATTCGTCTATACTTTTAGCTCCCAAAATCCATCGAGACATCATATTTTCACGTAGGTGCTGAACGACAGCAATCAGACAAACACAACTCGAATATTTAAACAAAATTCAATGCACCATGTCATGTAATATAAAATGATAAGGTTACAATAGGTAGAACTAAATTCACTTTTTCCAAGTTGACTTTCCCAGAGGAATATTTGAACCACTGGGACAAAATCCCTCACAATCTATTATCAGTGATTCAGGCTTTAACTTCATTTTGAGGGTAGTACTGAAAATGTTGTCTAGAAGAACGATGAAGTCTTCCCAGTTGGGCCATTTTTTTATTCCTTCACGTTCCCAGTGGAACATAGGGCTTCAAGCTAGAGGCTTGAAGTTTATGTAGCAGCGGTGTTTAGTTTTACGGAATGAGGTTCCCCACCTTTCGTCTTTACCAGCTTTATTTCTGGTTTAGCGAGGCAATGGAGTGCGTTGGCCGGGGATCGAACCGCGGACCATGTGCGTGGTCGGCGACCGTCCTAACCGCTGTGCAACCGACTCACTAGTTGAGCCATACAACTCAGATAATATGAAAACCTAAAACCCTGAGAACCACACTTATCATATGATTTCAGAGCTGTTGCATTGCCTATATCTTCCTTCATATAAACACAAATACCTTACAAACGATACGAAGTTTTTTTCAACTTTGGGCGCTTACTGAATTTACACACTTAACGGAACTTTTAATGAAAGCCAAAAAGTATATGGTTATCAACTAATACAAAATGAGAACTCAAATAAAACAAATAGAGGGAGTGTAATTGCCTAACGAACTTATGCTCTGTTGCATTACACAGAACTTCAGGGATTAATTCTAGTACCGTCAAGTAACAAAGCAAGCATGAAACCATCTGATCACCAAACTGAAATCCACTGAACTCCAGTTTGTAACCTTTGTTGGTGATCTCTATAGTGTCACTGTCTCCCTCTGACATTAATCAGTATCTGTTACCACATGCAAATCTAACATGTAATATTAACTGTTAATAAGTCTACTTTAAAGAGAAAACAGTTCTCTGCTTTCAAAAGATTCAGAGAGACGTTTGATGCCGCGAAAATTATCTGTCTGAATAAGTTTCCTAAAGGTATATGAAGACTTCAGTTTCAAGACAGTCATCACTTTAACATCTAATAGTGCATTCACTTAGAATAATACTAAGAAATTCCTGTTAAAATAGTAGGATATGAAAAAAGGAATGGAGTTACTGTCTTAAATTTTGGTGAACGAAAAAGCTCTAAAATATGTACTAGTGTATTCGCAATTATTATCGAAATAACTTTAATGAGTTTAGTATCTAGTAAGCACACCATCTGAAAACTTCTAATCCTTCTGATAACAGTGCATTCATATATGTCGTGACATGATAAAACGGAAGTCGGTGGCACAGCGGTAGAATGCTGGCCAACCATGCAGGTGGTCCAGAGCTCGATTCCTGGCCGACACTTACCTTTACCTCGCTAAGCCAGTTATAAGACTGGTAAAGAGTGACGCTTAGGCATAAGGTGAGCAACCGCATCCCATAAAAATAAATACCACTGCTACCGAAACTTCAAGCCTCTAGCTTGAAGCCCCATATCCTACTGCGAACGTAACGGAACGTCATCATTAACATGATAAAACACATTTTTAGCTCAAAGCGAAAATGATATATTTAAAATATATTGTTGCGGTAAATCTATCCAAAGGCACTTTCTGCTGTTTTCACTTTGCTTCTAGTGATACAGTTGCAGCATAATTTTGAATGTGCGGTAAGAAATTCTTGTAATTTATTGCAAAGACTTAATTCACAGATACAGGATAGAGTCTGTTTTGATGTCAGTCGATTAAAAATAGTAGATAAATGTTTCGCAATCAGTCGTGATAAAGTTTTTGTTACTCTGTTCAACAAAAGTGTACACAACCATCTGCCAGTAGTTCAAGACAGATGGTTCAACAGTGATCCTAATAATGTGGATAAAGATCTTCTTTATAATCCTTGAACGCCTAAATATCTCAGTAAATAAAACTTCTTGTCTTCTCTTCGTTTTATGCCTCTACTCCAAAACCTAAAAAAATGAGCGGAAATAGTGTTTTGCGCATATATTTCTACCATTTTTCTCCTATATAAAACAACATATGAAGAAAACAGAAAAACAACATAGTGGGCCAAAGTTTTTGAGCAAACGTCCATTGAGATAATTGGCCAGCCTATTTATGATCAGAAGCCTAGAATTCTGAGTGGTGAAATTCGTTGTAACCAAACTACATAAGATAGTGCTTTCTGAAGCCAGAGACTTGCTTTCCTACCAAGCCTCGTAAAGACTGAATTAATGCGGAAGTTTTTTAAAACCTATGCGCAGTTTTACAAACTATATCAGCGATTAATGGTTGATCCAAATTACCATCACACCACAGATTAAAAGGTTTTATTTATATAGATTTATGGACAGAATGTATCCAAGTACTTTACCGAAAATGCAAACATCAACTAAAGAGGCTGTTGACTGTAAAAGTGCACACCTCGGAAAAGTATTAATACAACCCTCGAAAAGGCCAATTATGTATCAAATCATCTTAGTATCTAAAGGGGAAACACGAGCTGTTTCCGCAGATAGGCAGCAGTATATGAAAAACTAAAAGCGCACTATTAAAGCTCATAATATGTAACAATGTGTTGGTTCGACTTTGCAACTCAGGTATTCATAAGTATCACACTGAAGTTCAAAAGCTGCTTGTTATTACAGTTTAGGACTCTTCCTTAATCAGCGCTGGAAACTTCCGTGAAAAAACAGACTGCAGGAAAGGCCATTGCAATATTGCTAAAATAAGTCTGAAAGCACGTTAATTAAAGCCAAGATTACAGCTGGAGGACGGTTTATTTTAAATTTCTTTCCTACAACAGGCACACTAACCATGAATAAACATTCACATTTGATTGCCTTGTTTCTACTCTCTACAGATAACTAATCGAGGCACTGTGAGGACTAATATCTCTTACAACTGCACAGATTTAAAGGATATTTTATATATCAATAGATAGTAAAAAACGGAGGAATTCTGAATACTTCAGCTGAAAACCTAACTACCTAGCGTCTCTGGTTGGATGATTAGGCTAAAATGATCTTAAAGGAATCTCGTCGACATGATTGACTTTCATTAATTTCTTCTGTTCACACTCATATATAAACACAATAAGGCAGATATTCTTACACAAAATAGGAAACGGACTGGTTAACACGATGCTTTTCTTGACAGTTGCTGACAACTCCATTGGTGAGTGTCAAATAATAAAAAGAAAGGACAGCTAAGACCCTCAAGAATTATCGTCTTAAAAAGCTTACCAACAAACTTTTGATCGAACAACTTTGTTCATCTGACAAACCACACATAAAAAACAGTTTTTGTTTATTGAACTACAAGATATCCATCTATGAATCCCAGTAGTTCAATTTATCACTGTGGTATTTTTTGAACGTCGTGCAACCCGTAATCCAGTTAAGCTACCTTTTTTGGGTTGTACGATACAGAAGTATTTTAAAACTAACTGTGACAAATGCTCTTCTATAAAATGGTCCTCCAAAATCGTGACATCCTACACAGATGTTCTGCAATGGATATGTCTCTGTTTTTAAACTTCGAATGTGCTACCTACTTACCTACATAAACTTAAGGACTGATCTTAGATGTAAATTGAGCCATTAAATTTGATCAGTGCATTCAGGAGTAAGCAATTAGTTCGACAGTAATCCGCTTCATATTCCGTAGATAAGAAGTAACAAATATAGACTACTCACATCTAAACGTGGTACAATTGTTAGATCAACAGCAAAATTCTCTTCAAACCCAACAGATGCACAGCATTTTAAGGCAATAAGTTGTTTTCGGAAAGCGAAATTCGCATTTGGAAAACTATTTAAAATAAATCATCACACTTGGGAAGCTGCGAAACGCTTTAAAGGAGGAGTAAATTTTGAGACTTATGTCAACAAATAATCCTGGTATTCAGAGAACAGATTTAATTGGATGTGATGAAATATCTACACAAATTGTGAAAATATCTTCAGTTAAATTGGAGAATGAAGGAGAATATTAAAAGCATTAAGGTCTTCCCTACACCAAAATAAGTGAAATGAAATTATGTATCTAAACAGGATATAAAAACTATTAAACAGCGGTTAAAATCAATATTCATACATCTTTATAATCCACATACGACATAAAAAAGGCTGTTACATTAAATTACACCTCCTTGTGATTCTATGCTTGTAAATTTTTACTGATGTACAAAGGCCATAATTTAAACACACAAAGACAATTTTTGATTCAGAAGTCAAATAGGCATAACGTACCTTTACTTTATCAAAAAGGGCATGCTTCTGGAATGCTGTTGTATACTCAACAGAGAACTTCAACTTGCTATCCACTGTACTTCTTCTGGTTCTAGATGAGAAAGTGGAAGATGCGTGCATCTTTACGTTGTTTATGAAAATTTCAGAACTGGAAATCTTACTATTGGAACATTCCTAGGAATCCTGCAGACATGTTCTGCATAACATGTAATGGCTGAATAAATAAGTAAAACAGTGGTTGTATGAAAATGCATTTCCATGCATTTGGAAATACGCGAAACGGTGTAAACTAGTAAGACCTTCAAAAAGTTAATAGTAACTAACAATACAAACAAAACAATGTATATTGGACACTTCTCCCTCATCATTCATGTGCTCTATAAAGCAGTATCAAGCATTCTAATGTATTACAATTGTTCTGCGGTCTTTGTGTTTTTTGTTGGAGTAATACATAGATGTCTTGATTGTCAGTGCGAAACCTTCATATTGCAGCACATGTTGCGATGGAGCAGCTCTAAATGTCTCAGTAAACACGACTATTATTAGTCCCATTTGGACTGAGAGTCTGTTTCTGTCACTGTATTGACAGGTAAGTGGAGTGATTACTGAACTATTCAGGCCTAAGCATAAATGCTGGGAACTGTTTATCATACTTCTCACTTTGGAGGCAAGATTGCTGTGCACCGTTACCAAAAGCAAGGCTATTGAGGGATGTCATCAGTCACGGATGAAGTTTGAAACGCATCTATTTCGTGATGCAACAACCTAATTCAGGAAGACATTTTCATACATGAATCTCAGGAAAAGGCATCCAGCATTGTACAAAACTTCACTGTTAACAGCTATACATTCGAAGAGCGAAAGGAAAAACAGGATGCGATGGAATACTACTTCTATAAAGTATTCACACAAGAGTCATCACCCCCATTACACAGTATCAGCTGACTGTTTCAGAAGAATACAGTATACATTTCGTTGATATCAGCCAAACCACTATGTTTGAACCACTGTGTGAAATAGAAGCATAGAAATCAGCCGGACCCGACCACCCTCACCCAAAGATTGTCAAGTTACTGGTAGTTCGCATAGCCAGTCTGTCTTTGATGAATAAAGTGTCATCCCGCGACTTGGAAACGTCACAGTAACTCCCATCTACAAAGGAGGATCTAGATATTGCCAAACAAACTGCATGCCTATTAGTCCCACCGACACCTTAACGAAGATATTGAAAAGAATTACCAAGAAAGTCATCATGGGATATCTGGAAAATAACAATTTATTGTCCAGAGCACAACATGGAGTCCAGAGAAACCTCTCGTACCTGATTACACTTTTGTGATTAGTATTCACCTCTCATCACACCAGAGAGCTTTCATATCATATCACTTTATTGAAACAAATTAGCCAATCTATAGGGGCAGTTAGTTGTGCTTCTCAAATACTTTGATTCAGTTTTCGAATAAATTCAAAGAGAAATAAACCTCATAATTTTTGCGTGGTCGTCTATCTTGCTAGACCTGCACTCTGATAACTCTGTAGCCTGGCTCACCCAACCGGATGACCAGGCTGCTCTTTACTTCTCCAGGATAGTGGTGGGAGAACACAGCACTAATGGCTGCTCATGGATGTACATATTAACCGTAGTACGAACAGAGTACAGAGATACATGACTACGCCACAATGCAGCAACCACGCTTCTCTCCCTTGAAAATCCAGTTTTCTCAATGTGATTCATTTGGCGTGAGTAAATGAACTGGCTTTTGAAAGAGGAGTGGCTGATTATGTGTGCAAATAATGACTGTGCAGATACTGGGAATAAAAATATACCTCTGCTGGATATATTATTTTTTGGCAAATATTTCACTTAGCTAACAGATAGTGACTTATTTTACGATGCTTTTCCAGTGTCGGATAAGTTTTTGGAGACACTTCGTTCTAATATCCTGTAGGATTTCCGGATTAAATGCTGTGAAACTAGAAAGCAATGCATGACCCTAATTCGTCTACTTAAAACTGCGTATGAATCACAGCTAATTAGAGATTAACCAGGCTGCTCAGAAAGACTTCACTTGTATTTCAGTTGGAAGTCTGGGAGTAGGGAAACCTTAAGTACCCCTCTACCGAATGAAAACACGATATGTCTGACTGAAGATAATTTGACGAAGTCTGATACTGTTCGGGAGTAATTCCGCCGAGCATTATGCATTGGGGTTAGTACAGATGTATATTTTGAAGATATCAACTAAAAATTTGATTCCGGGGCTTGGTCCTGTTAAACCTAGCGGTCCTGATATACGAGTGTTACCTGCTATGAACGAGGTCATATAGGAACTTCTGTCGGCGCTGTTCGACTATTGTGACCTTTGAATCTCCATTTGAAGCACACAACAATGAACTTTCAACAGTTTCCCAGTAGATTCCCGGTAATACATAATAATATTAGAGAAAGCGGATTGCTGAACAGGCCTATCGGATGTGGTGCAATTATAAAAAATACAGAATAGTGCTACGGAGACAATTTATACAATAATACAGACCGGCCAGTGGATATCTATGAATATTGCGAAATTTAACTAGTCACCTGCCCGACGAATGTAGGAGCAATGAAGATCTGTACAAATTAAATTCTGGCTGGTAGGCCATTTAGCTAGTAAGTATTTACACATGATAACAACATGTCGTTGAGTCGGCCTTAGTCCCCGATCCCTCAAAATTTGTTTACAAATTACTGGTCCATTGGTTTTACGTCAAAATATTAGGGATTGTTGTGCAATGCATTGTTATTTACTGTTTTGGGAATAATTCAGTGCTTGACCGCGAATAAGAATGTCATTCCTACGTGACTAGTTCCATTTCGGCGCAGAAAATCTGGTCAAATGTAGCAGAAGCTAGTAGATTAGTTGACGGTTTATTAGTAGATTTTCGATAAGATTCCCAACTCAGATCTTCTCAGACAGGTTTTCACTCTATTAGATATAGTTATAAGATGCCACGCCCAGAACTTTTCTACGGCGTTGATGGAGTCTTTAATCATGGAGACTGGTATAGTCTAGCATTTTTCGAAGTACGACTTCAGGCTTTTAACTTCTATTACTTCGGTGAAGTGAGACTTAGCTGACAGACCTTGCTGCCTAATGTTTGTCTGTGGACGGAATTATTTGAAGAAATATAATATGATAGTAATCGACTTCCATAGATTAGAGTGAACATTCATTAGTTTAAATTGACCTGCGCTAACCATAAGAACATGAGAACCGATTGGGTTAAAATCCTTCCACAAATTATGGTTGTCGAGTATAAGGATTGAGGAGTTTAAAGGTCAGAAACCACTTTCTAAACGTAGGAAGTCGTTCAATTAATTCCTCTGTGTAGCTTGCGACAGACTGAAATTGTATTCCAATAACATTAGAAGACCTTCAGGCTCAGAAGATCCTGTGATGCCATTCAAAAATAATGACATAACAGAAATGTGAAACTACCCCATTTATGCTGTACGGCGGGTGCCCTAGTATTGAAGATCATTAGGTAGAAAATGCAAACTGCAGAACAAAAATTACAGATCAAACACGAGTGACCGATAAGCTGCCTAAGAAAAATGACGAATATTGCCACAAATGAGGATTCTAAACTCTCTCTGCAAGGGACAAACAACAAGAATTACATTTCTGAGATAGTTCTTGATTAGCTGAACACTCCAAAGGGTAACATTTACCTCACTTATGCTAACTCGCCGCCTGAAAACAAAATATCTACACTGTCATACAACAGCAAACGGAATCAGAAATGGTGATCAAACACAATTAAGACACCTAATAACTTGATCTAGGGGAGGTATGCTAACGTTAAAATAGCGATATGCAGGTAAGACGAGAAGGCAGCAATAAAAAACTCAGTTGAAATATTCAAATAAACCTCAAAAGTGCGCACGAAGCGATTTTCAGGTCAACTATTCTACTACAAGGGATGGTCGTGAACTATGACTCAAACGGGCACTCCTTGTGAAAAACACATGCATGACGTGCAGCAATGGAGATGGCTCTCACCTCAGGTACCCCTTGGCGCTTCTGGAGCCATCTCCATTTCCCGACTACCTCGCCTGCTCATCTCACACTGATTAGCTCTCAAAAGCTGTTAAGTGTCACATTCAACTACCAGGAGCATTTGGCCATAGTGTGAAGAAGACAAGACTGAGGAGACTGAAAGGATTGTTTATTTGGTGAAACGTATGGTATATGGTCCCTCCCACTTCGGCAGAAGCTTTCCTGATCCTGGTCCACTTCCGGTAGTATACTTTCGTTCTCTACATTTCACCTGGTCACCTACTTCAAACAGCTTCCAAGCTTTGATTTGTTTCTTGCCATAATTTTCGATGTCTTTCTTGCGCTTCTCTTGTATATTCTGAATAGCTTGTTTCCGCTCATTTGTCCATCTCTTACTGTTCCATTTTTGTTGTGTTGGCCAAGTCTTATGGTGTACCGGTAAGCGTGGTTTCCTCCCATACATCAGCTGGAAAGGCGACTTTTTTGTTGTCCCTTGTACTGTGGCACGATGTGCTAGTAATACCAACGGTAAGTCAGTTTCCCAGTTGCCTCTTTTCGCAGCTAGCCACTCCTTGAGTGTACGATTGTTCCTTTCGGTTAAGCCGTTTGTCTGCGGATGATACGGAGTCGTTCTAATCCTCTTAATACCCAGTGCCTCCAGACGAGTCTTGAACTCCTCACTTTCAAAACAGGGGCCTTGATCTGTCAATATCATTTTCGGTACACCATGATCCGCCACAATATGTCGAATGACGGCCTCGGTTACGGTCTTGGCGCGCTGATCTGGAATCGCTACAGCATTTACCCACCGCGTGGCGTGTTCCGTCATCATTAAAATGTATTGATTTCCACTTGCTGTCTGAGGGAAAGGACCCATTATGTCCACGGACCATAAGTCACCAACCGCCGTTACGGGTATCGTTTGTAGCTGCGGTCGAATGCACCGATCACCCTTCATCAATTGACACTGTGAGCACTCACGGTAATATACAAACCCCCTATAATTGTCATCACTGAATCTTGGTGTAATTCAAACATACTGGATGAAGAGATAAGCTTAGATAATTACACACACTTTCGGTGTGGCAGGGAAGGTGGTAAGGGAGGGGGCTGTCTCATGTACTTTCTGAATGCACTTTCTGTATCACAGCTAGAAAGTAGTACACTTAACATGCCTGAGACTTTATGGGTTAACTTACACTTAAATAACGCAATAGTATTAATTGGATGCACCTACAGAGCACCTGGTACCTTTAGTAA